TATTATATAAGATATTGCATTTTGTATAAAATCAGTTTCACTATTACCGTTTGAAAAGCACAGGTCTGGCACTGGCCGGTTAGCTGAGTTGGTTAGAGCGTCGTCCCAATATGCCAGGGTTGTGGGTTCGATCCCTGGGCAGGACACATACAAGCAGCAGCCAGGTTCGATTCTGGCCAAGGGCACGTGCCCAGATTGCAGTAGGGGGAGGGCAGGAGGCAGCCGATCCATGATTCTCTCTCATCATTGATATTTCTCTCTCTCCCTCCCTCTTCCTTCCTCTCTGAAATCAATAAAAAAAACTTTTTAAAGTGCTGTATTTTCTGGATACTATTTATGCCAGGAACTAAATCTTGCCCTCTATGTGTGGATCTTGCAACTAGCTCGTTGTGCTTTGTTTATTTCTTATTTTATTGACAAGGACATTGAAACGGCAAAAAGTGACCATCAGTTCCCTAATCAGAATAATTGCCGTTGTCTGCTCTTAACTGGCACAGGTTGGTGTGTTTTCTTCCTCCCGTCTACTTTCTATCTTTAAATATTTGCTTAGCATTCCTGTCGGAAGCCCGTATGCATCAACTCGTTTTGGGGGTTTTGTTCTCGGCTTTTTTATTTTCAGATTGTTGCTTTTGGCAGAAAGACGAAGCTATCTGCACATCTTTCACCTTAAAAAGAGCTGGAGTGCAGTAGGGTGCGTTTAGCAGATGGCCCGAAAGCCTTTGCATGTTCTTCCTGCTGCTGCAAGTTCAATGTTGAGGCGTTCTCAGGCGTGAACTTTCGTCTGTCCCCGGACATCCAGGGCAGAGGTCCCACTTCTCAGGGGCATTCTGGGGCATTGCCGCAGCCCTGCATGCGAACAGACGCTGGAGATGGAGATGGAGATGGAGATGACATGACATATTTCCTCCCTCCTCCTGTCTTTCTGCTGTTTCCTCTTCCCACGGGCTCGTCCAGACGGAGCTAGCACTGGGGAGAGCAGGCGGGATGAGTTCAAGGCTGAACTCAAGGCTGAGTTCAAAGGCAAAACGCTTACCACGGGGTCTCATAGCGACATTCATGAGTCCAGGGTTTGGGGCAGATGATCTGATCTGAATTGTGCTGAGGGTCTGAAGACTCCATTGTTGGGGCCAGTGTGGGGGGCAGGGAGGTGGATGCAAAGGGGCCAGTTAGGAGGCTTTTGGAAAAGTTGAGGCGTTAGCCGAAACCGGTTTGGCTCAGTGGATAGAGCGTCGGCCTGCGGACTGAAGTATCCGGGTTCGATTCCGGTCAAGGGCATGTACCTTAATTGCGGGCACATCCCCAGTAGGGGGTGTGCAGGAGGCAGCTGATCAATGATTCTCTCCCGTCAATGTTTCTAACTCTCTATCCCTCTCTCTTCCTCTCTGTAAAAAAATCAATAAAAATATATTTTAAAAAAAGAAGAAGAAGAAGAAGTTGAGACATTAGGTGAGAGTGGGGTAGACCAGAAGGGAGCATAGTGGGTGCAGAAAGAACTGGGTATGTAGGTATTTGGGGGTGTAATTGAAAGATTTAGTGATAGGTCTTTATGGGAAATAAATGAATAAGAACGTACATATTTTACCCTAGTTGGTGTGGCTCAGTGGATAGAGCATCAATCAGCCTTCGGACTGAAGGGTCAAGGGCACATGTCTGGGTAGGGGGCATGCAGGAGGCAGCCCATTAATAATTCTCTCTCATCATTGATGTTTCTCTCTCCCTTCTTTTCTGAAATGAACCAATATCCTATAATAAAAGGCTAATATGCAAATTTTCCCCTCAACCAGGAGGCAGGGTGGCCAACCACTCACAGCCCCAACCCCCATCAGCCCTCCCACCCTGATTGGGGGTGGGGCCGGCCGGACCCCTTACCCCCGGCACAAATTCGTGCACTGAGCCTCTAGTAAATATATATATATATATATATATATATATATATATGTATGTATGTATGTATATGTCACAGATTTCTCATGGGAGCATCTGCTCAGGCAGTGATGCCAATTACTAAGATCAGGGATACTAAATGGCAGGCAGGCTAGGCCATAAGACTGAGAGTTTGTTTTTAGAACTCTTATGTTTGAAATGCCTACAGACACGCAACCAGTGAGACTGAAGCTCAGACTGGGGGTCTGGGGTTTGGGGGTAGAAAAATGAGACACACGGATGCCATACGAAACCTTGACATTGGATGAAATCACAAGAGAGACATCACAAGTGGAGCTACCCTGTTTCCCCAAAAATAAGACAGTGTCTTATATTAATTTTTTCTCCCAAAGTTGCGCTAGGTCTTATTTTCAGAGGATGTCTTATTTTCGGGGAAATGCGGTATGTGAGAAAGGGAAAAAAATATCAGGAAAATACAGTGTCCTGGAACTCAAGAAGAAATGTCTCAATGGACATATTCTATAACGGGGAAAGACATTTGCTATGGAAATTATAGATATCAGGTTAATATATTACAAATGAATAGTAAAAAGATAGAACGCTGTCCAGAAATGCAAAAATGATAGCAATAGTCAGTTGCCTGTAGGGCCAATCCTAACGGCCAATAAACGTATGAAAAGATGTTTAATCTCACCATTAATCAGGGAAATGCAAATAAATCTAAAAGAGCATTACCACCTCATGCGTTCAGAGATTGGAAGGAGGTCATTTTCATACCTTGGTGGAAATGTAAATTTTTACAGCCTCTTTTGAAAGCAGTCTGGCAACGTCTGTTAAAATGAAAAATACCTCTACTCTGGGATCCAGCAGTCTCACTCCTGCAGATCTATTCTTGTGGAAATAAAAGCACCAGTGCATAAAAATCTAAATATGTTTACGGTAGCCCCCTTTTTAAGGGCAAAAACACTAACAATAAGATAAACACGTACCCCCTAGAGAAAAGTTAAATAAATTATAGGTAATCTAATCACTGGATTATGGTGCAGCCATTAAAAAGTGGCTGAGCGCTGACCTCTGAACTAGGAGGTCCCGGTTTGATTACTGGTCAGGGCACAGCCTCGGTTTTGGGTTTGATCCCCAGTGTGGGGAGGGGGTGTGCAGGAGGCAGCCAGTCCATGATTCTCATCATTGATGTTTCTGTTTCTCTTTCCCTCTCTGAAATCAATAAAAATATTTTTTAATATATTAAAAATATTTTTTAATATATTTTTACAGAGAGAAAGGGAGAGGGATAGAAAGTTAGAAATATCGATGAGAGAATCATCGATCAGCTGCCTCCTGCACACCCCCCACTGGGGATGTGCCTGCAGCCAAGGTACATGCCCTTGACCGGAATTGAACCCAGTACCCTTGAGTCCGCAGGCCGACACTCTATCCACTGAGCCAAACCAGTTTCAGCAATAAAAATATTTTTAAAAAAATAATAAAGGAGTTAGATCTAGGCCGTTTGACTTTTAAGACTCTTCATAATGCAGAGAATTTATAATAAAGTGTGATTCATTTTGTGTGTGTGTGTGTACCCATAAAACACAGTCGTCTCCCTCCCAAACACTTCTCCCTGTGGATAAAACACTTGTGTCTATATAAACATGGAGAAAAACATACTTTGTCATTAATAATGAGTCACTGGGTAAGTATCTCTGAGGGAAGTGATGGAGGTGAGCCTCCACTCACCCACTTCCTTGATAAACACACATCTCAATTTAAAAGAAAAGTGGTAAAAGTGTCTGTAATATATCCCATATACGTGTGTGCGTGTGTGTGTGTGTGTGTATGATATGAAAAGGTAGTCATCAAAATGATAATGCAAAAGTATAATTTTTTAAATAAGCTTTATTGATTTTTACAGAGAGGAAGGGAGAAGGGTAGAAAGTTAGAAACATCAGTGAGAGAGACACATCGATCAGCTGTCTCCTGCACGCCCCCTTTTGGGGATCGAACCCGCAACACGGTACGTGCCCGTGATCAGAATGGAACCCGGGACCCTTCTTCAGTCCTCTGGCCAACGCTCTATCCACTGAGCCAAATCGGTTAGGGCCAAACGAATAATTTTTTAGGTAAAATGCTCAGCTGGCATATACAATTCACACATTTATTATCTCACCATTTCTGAGGGTTGGGAACCCGGGAATGGCTTACCTGCACCTTCTTCCTCTGTGTCTCTCACAAGACCATCTTAAGGGGATGAATTAGCTTCTAAGCTCACACCAATTGTTGGCAGGATCTGGCTCCTCCTGGGCTATTGGGTAAAGGCATTATTTGTTCATGGTCAGAGCCCTTCCTGGTTTCAAGCCACATGGTCTTCTCATTGAGCAACTCAGCAGCAGCAGCTGGCTTCCCCAGCCAGCAGGCAGAAGGGCAGAGGTCAGCGAGACGGATCGGACATGTTTGCCATATTCCATTTCTTAGAAGTGAGCAGATCAAGCCCACTCTCAGGAAGAGAGAATTGCACAAGGCCAAGATTGCCAGGAAATGAGAATCATTGGTGCCACTTTATATATATTTTTAATATATTTTATTGATATTGGGGGTTTTTTTTACAGGGAGAAAGGGAAAAAGGATCGACAGTTAGAAACATCGATGAGAGAGAAACATCCATCAGCTGCCTCCTGCACACCCCCTACTGGGGAATGTGCCCTCAACCAAGGCCCTTGACCGGAATGGAACCTGGGACCTTTCAGTCTGCAGGCCGACGCTCTATCCACTGAGCCACACCGTTGTAATTATAGGAGTAATTCTCTTGAATGGAAGGAAGTGAGCAGTTGTGGTTCTTGATGATGAATGTCTACGATGGTTATAATCAGTTTACAGTGTTACACTCTTCTGTGCGTTGGGCCGTTTATAGCTTTTAAAATCATTTTATTTGAAAAAATAAATTTAAAAAAATTTTTTAAAGAAAAAAATAGAATAATTTTGTAAGGGTCAAGAAAAAAAAAACTATTGGGATTTTGGTTAATGATATTTTGAAATTATTAAATTCTCAATGTTGGCATCCTGCCTGTAGTATTTTTCACAATTGAAGTGCATAGTTAATAACTTACCTTTGTCTCGGACAGATCGATGAACTCCCAGAGGGAGCAGTGAAACCTCCAGCCAACAAGTACCCCATCTTCTTCTTTGGCACCCATGAAACGTAAGTCAGCACAGCAGCCTCAAGTTCAAAGCTCCCATTTGACTCTGCTAGACTGCATTGTTCATAGATGATCAAGGCACTTATATACTTTTAAAATAATTTTTTTAATATATTTTATTGATTTTTTTTACAGAGAGAAAGAGGGAGGGATAGAGAGTTAGAAACACTGATGAGAGAGAAACATTGATCAGCTGCCTCCTGCATACCCCCCCACCTGGGGATGTGCCTGCAACCAAGGTACATGCCCTTGACTGGAATCGAACCTGGGACCTTTCACTCCGCAGGCCGATGCTCTATCCACTGAGCCAAACCAGTTTCGGCTAAAAAAAATTTTATGTATTGATTTGAGAGAGAGAGAGAAATATAAATTTGTTGTTCACTTACGTTATACATTTGTTGACTCTTCTTGTATGTGTCCTGACCAGGGATCAAACCCACAACCTTGGTATATCAAGACGATGCTCTAACCAACTGAGCTATTATATTTTTAATAGTTTACTAAAGTATACTCTGACTCCTTAGTAGATATTGATATTAAAAATACCTTACATTGCCGGCACCGGTTTGGCTCAGTGGATAGAGCATCGGCCTGCGGACTGAAAGGTCCCGGGTTCGATTCCGGTCAAGGGCATGTACCTTGGTTGCGGGCACATCCCCAGTAGGGAGTGTGCAAGAGGCAGCTGATCGATGACTCTCTCTCATCGATGTTTCTAACTCTCTATCCCTCTCTCTTCCTCTCTGTAAAAAATCAATAAAATATATTTAAGAAAAAAAAATATATATTTAAATAAATGAATAAATAAATAAATAAATAAATAAATAAAAATAAATAAAAATACCTTACATTTGTCCCTGCTGATGTAGCTCAGTGGTTGAGCATCAACCTATGAACTGGGAGGTCAAGGTTCAAGTTCTGGTCGGGGCACATGCTTGGGTTGTGGGCTTGATCCCCAGTGTGGGGTGTATGGGAGGCAGCCGATCAAAGATTCTGTTATCATTGATGTTCCTCCCTCTTTCTCTCTTCCTCCCTCCTTCCCTCCCTTCCTCTCTGACACCCATAAATATATCTACATATCTTTTTTTAAATATCTTATATTCGAAGGTCAGAGTATCAATTCCATTTCTCATGTGTGTGTCTGCAGTGCATTTCTTGGCCCCAAGGACCTCTTCCCATACAAAGAATACAAAGACAAGTTTGGAAAGTCCAACAAACGGAAAGGATTTAATGAAGGATTGTGGGAAATCGAGAATAACCCCGGAGTCAAGTTCACTGGATACCAGGTACGGGTGTGCTTCGTTATCGCTTCTGTGGTTTTCGGCTCTCTCTTGAATCTTTACTAAATGGCCTTTGAACTAAAAGGTACCCTCCCTTCATTTGAATCCAGAATTCTCTTGGTTTTGGTAGCACATTCTGTCACCCAAGAGAGTTCAAGTCAGGGAAATCGAGGCTGGCAGCCTTTATTTTGAAAATCTTTTAAAAGGTAAGGTGAACAGACGTCCTGCTTTTGGCGGGACAGTCCCGATTTTGTCAAATTTGTCAACTTGTAAAAATATCGGGACTGTCCTGCCAAAAGCGGGACATCTGGTTGCCTTATTTAAAAGCAAGCTGAACGCTTTCAAATTGAAATAGAACCACTGCGCTTTTTAGAAGTATAACTGGCTACCGTTTTATTGGTCAGGCCATTCAGCAGCAGAGCTCGTCAGAAACGGAGGGCGAAGGCGGCAACACGGCGGACGCCAGCAGCGAGGAGGAAGGGGACAGAGCGGAAGAGGACGGGAAAGGCCGGAGGAAGAACGAAAAGGCCGGCTCGAAGCGGAAAAGGGCCTACACCTCCAAGGTTACTGAGGCCGCTCCTGTGGTCACTCCCCTTCTGTGCGTGGTCCCTGAGAGTTTGAGGTTCTTTTTTCTTTCTTTTTTTAATATATATATTTTTATTGATTTTTCACAGAGTGGAAGAGAGAGGGATAGAGAGCCAAAAACGTCGATGAGAGAGAAACATCCACCAGCTGCCTCTTGCACACCCCCCACTGGGGATGTGCCCGCAACCAAGGTACATGCCCTTGACCGGAATCGAACCCGGGACCTTTCTGTCCATAGGCTGACGCTCCATCCACTGAGCCAAACCGGTCTTGGCTATTCTTGTTTTTCGGTGTGTGTTTTTTATACGTGGATCAGCTCAGTAGATAGAGCATTGGCCCTCGGAATGAAGGGTCCCGATTCCATTCCGGTCAAGGGCGTGTTGCCGCGGTTGTAGGTTAGATCCCTAGCCCAGGTCAGGCTCCTGTGGGAGGCGACCAATCAATGTGTCTCTCTCACATCGATGTTTCTCTCTCCTCCTCTCTTCCTCTCTGAAATTAATAAAAAATATATTTTAAAAAAATATATTTAATTGATTTTTTTACAGAGAGGAAGGGAGAGAGCCAGAAACGTCGATGAGAGAGAAACATCGATCAGCTGCCTCTTGCACACCCCCCACCGGGGATGTGCCCACAACCAAGGTACGTGCCCTTGACCGGAATCGAACCCGGGACCTTTCAGTCCGCAGTCCGACGCTCTATCACTGAGCCAAACCAGCTTCGGCAAAAATATATTTTTTTTTAAAGGGGGAAAGAAAAACCATGAGATTGTGAAAACCGTTCACCTTTTAGAAACTGAAAGCAAGATAAACAGGCCTTGGAAAAACAAAGATTGGTCCAGATTGGACTGGAATCGGTCTGTCACATGATTGAATATTTGGATAAATTACTTCCCATAAGATTCTGGTGGTTAGTGGCCGGAAATACTTAAGAAACGCCTTAAAATCGGGTGCCAAGCGTTTATCAGACTACAAACACTTTATTTTATGGCCTATAAGATCCACCCAACTTGCATAAAGGTAAAATTCTATGAATGCATATAATAATATTTCCCATTCACCTAAGGAAAACCAGGATATTTGCCTTGATGGGGATAAAGTTTGTAAATAACAAAATAATCAGAATTTTCCCCATCCTGCAGGGTGCCTTCTGGCTCCATAGCTTTCCCCAGGCAGTGTCCGCCCCGCTGTGCCTTTTCATTGACAGCATTCTGTGTAGGTTTGTTTTCTGCTTTTACCATCTCATTGCTGGGCAGGACTAAAAGAAAAGGGGCATTTAGTCCACTTGTGCTTCTTTTTTTAAAAAATATATTTTATTGATTTTTTACAGAGAGGAAAAGAGAGGGACAGAGAGTTAGAAACATCGATGAGAGGAGGGGGCAGTGTTAAAATATGTACACAGATGATTATTTAATTTAAAAAAAGAAACATGGATGAGAGAGAATCATCAATCAGCTGCCTCTTGCACACTCCCCTATGGAGGTGTGCCTGCAACCAATGTACATGCCCCTGACCGGAATCGAACCTGGGACCCTTCAGTCCACAGGCCAACGCTCTACCACTGAGCCAAACCGGTTTTGGCTGTACCTCTTTTTGTAAAAAAATATTTCTTTATTGATTTCAGAGAGGAAGGAGAGGAAGTGATAGAAACATCCATGCTGAGAGAGAATCATTGATCAGGCGTGTGCCTCGATCGGAGTGGAACTGTGAAATCTCTGAGTTTATAGATTGACGCTTACCACGGAGCAACCCGGTGGGGCCACCTCTCCTTCTTTTGCAGCTGGTTCCGCTGAGGCCCAGCGAGGTGAAGTGACTGGCCCACGGTCACCTCGCCCGGCCCTGGCACCCTGTATGCTGTGGGCTTACACCCTGCATCAAGCCGGGAAGAGCAGGTGCAGGCCGGCTCCTCCTGCACCTCTGACCCTCTTGCGTTTGGGCTTTTATGCGGCTGTAACTTTTAACTTCTCTAAACATTTAGAAATCCTCCAAACAGTCCCGGAAGTCCCCGGGGGACGACGATGACAAGGACTGCAAAGAAGAGGAGAACAAAAGCAGCTCGGAGGGCGGAGACGCCGGCAACGACACGAGAAACACGGCCTCAGACTTGCAGAAAACCAGCGAAGGGGTAAGGAGGCGCGCCCGGGCGGTTTCTCTCAGCCCGTATTCCCGTGTTTACTTGGCTGCTGAGTGAGGATCCATATCTCAGCCTTAGACGTTGTCTTAGTCAATGGAGAAGTACTCTCAGCCCGGTCGGTCGGTCGGTCGGTTGGTCGGCCAGTTGGTAGAATCTGCCACAGACAGCTCCTGGGTAAGAGCAGCTGCTTAGACTCTGCGAACAGGCCAGCCAGGTGGGAGCTGCACCTGCCCGTCAGCTCGGAACTCCGCGAACAGTTTATTCTTTTCTAAACCAACTTCCGAAACTGGAGAGCCTTTTAAAGGCAGGCGTGAAATACGGGAATTATGAAAGGCCGCCTCCACCTCTGCCAGTTGCATTTCTTTAATTATAGAATGAAATAGCATAGGAATTCACACCGCTGCCTCTGTCCTAGAAGTGGTCGTCCTTCAATGTGCCGGTGGGGGGTAGGGGTGGGGGGAGGACCTTTAAATATTTAAATATTCAAATTTAATCAGTATGTGGATGCTGATTTTTAAAGGACCCAACAGGAAAACTTGTCCACTTTGAGTCTTGTTTACTTCTGTTCACTTCAAAGTCACGGCAAGAACACCTTTGCCAAAGCGTTAGTGAAGGCAGAGCGTGCCCCTGGCCATTTTCCATGCGTCTGCTCTCTGTGAAGACTGAACAGTGGCAAATCATTTAAAAACACCCACCCCTGCCGAAACCGGTGTGTCTCAGTGGATAGAGCATCGGCCTGCGGACTGAAGGGTCCCAGGTTCGATTCCGGTCAAGGGCATGGACCTTGGTTGCGGGCACATCACTGGTAGGGGGTGTGCAGGAGGCAGCTGGTCAATGTGTTTCTCTCTCATCAATGTTTTAAGCTCTCTATCCCTCTTCGTTCCTTTCTGTAAAAATCAATAAAATATATTGGGGGCGGGGGGGGGGACACAAACAAACATCCACCCCTGAAATATCTGACTGTTACTCTTCTGTTGAATTCTGGTGCCAGCTGAGCTCTTGCCTATTCTTGTTGGTACTGTTTACCTCTCAGTGAGTCCCTCCTCCATGCAGTTTCCATAATTACTCCTGTTGTTAGGGCTCTGGCTGTTCCCTGATTCCTCCCGTCCACCTCAGCTCTGCTCCGCCCCTGCCCGTCTTTATTCTCTCCGCCTCTCTCCCCCCTACGCAGCCCTCTGCTGTTCCCTCTGCCTGCAGCCTCATGGAATGAAGGCCTGAGTACCTGGCACATTCCATTTCCGCGTGTCCCACCTGCTACCCCCCCCACCCCCTACCCCCCCCCCCAAAAAAAGCATGTCGTTAAAGTCATGGTCATATTCTGGTGAACCTTCACTTGGTTTGGGGCAGTAATAATTTTGTGGGGCTTTGGTGAGACCGTGCGTTCTAAAATATTCTTCAGCCGAGACCGGTGTGGCTCAGTGGGTAGAGCGTCGGCCTGCGGACTGAAGCGTCCCAGGTCCGATTCGGGTCAAGGGCATGGACCTTGGTCGCGGGCACATCCCCAGTATGGGGTGTGCAAGAGGCAGCTGATGGATGATTCTCTCTCATCGCTATTTCTAGCTCTCTATCCCTCTCCCTTCCTCTCTGTAAAAAATCAATAAAATATATTTTTAAAATAAATAAAATATTCTTCAACATGGATTGCATAGTTGTTGCTATGAATCTACTACTGATGTGGACATAGAAACTACTGCCTTTCATGTTAATTTTTTAATTTTATTTATTTATTTATTTATTTTAAATATATTTTATTGATTTTTCCACAGAGAGGAAGAGAGAGGGATAGAGAGCTAGAAACATCGATGAGAGAGAATCATCGATCAGCTGCCTCTTGCACACCCCCTACTGGGGATTCACCCGCAACCAAGGTACATGCCCTTGACCGGAATCGAACTCGAGACCTTTCAGTCCCCAGGCCGACGCTCTATCCACTGAGCCACACCGGTCCCGGCCATGTTAATTTTTTTAAAAAGACATTATTAAAGAAGTTTATTTGGTTAACAGGTTTTTTATTTTTATTTTTAATATATTTTATTGATTTTTTTATTTTATTATTTTACAGAGAGGAAGGGGGAGGGACAGAGAGCTAGAAACGTCGATGAGAGAGAATCATCGACCAGCTGCCTCCTGCACACCCCGTACCGGGGATGTGCCCGCAACCAATGTACATGTCCTTGACCCGAATCGAACCCGGGACCCTTCAGTCCGCAGGCCAATGCTCTGTCCACTGAGCCAAACTGGTTTTGGCGTGTTTTTATTATTATTATTATTATTATTATTATTATTATTCTTTAAGAGGTGTCTTTCTCCTTCTCAAGGGAGGGAAATCCTCAAAGGCTGTCAGTATAATCCTGTATCTCGTGCTTTTATTTGTGAATAGTTAGAAGTCATCAGGCATTGCCGAAACCGGTTTGGCTCAATGGATAGAGCGTTGGCCTGCGGACTGAAAGGTCCCAGGTTCGATTCCAGTCAAGGGCATGTACTTTGGTTGCGGCCACCTCCCCAGTAAGGGGTGTGCAGGAGGCAGCTGATTGATGATTCTCTCTCATCGATGTTTCTAACTCTCTATCCCTCTCTCTTCCTCTCTGTAAAAAATCAATAAAATACATTTTTAAAAAAGAAAAAGAAAAAAAGAAGTCATCAGGCATTGTATTTTGCAAGTTCACAGATTTGATTTGACTTGATTTTTTTTTTAATCCTCACCTGAGGATATTTTTCTGTTGAGAGAGCGGGAGGAAGAGGGGAAGACAGAGAGAAACATCGATGTGAGAGAAACACATCGATTAGTTGCCTCCTGTACATGCCCTGACCAGGGCCCAGGCCAGGGAGGAGCCTGCAGCCGAGGTACATGCCCTTGACTGGAATTGAACCCGGGACCCTTGCGGTCCATTGAGCTAAACCGGTGAGGGCAGGGCACAGGTTTTATTTATTTTATTTTTAACAATATATTTCTGTTGATTTCAGAAAGAGGAAAGGAGAGGGAGAGAACGTTAGAAACATCAAGTGGTGATAGAATCATCGATTGGCTGCCTCCTGCACACCCCACTGCGGATGGAGCCCGCAACCTGGGCCTGTGCCCTGACCGGGAATTGACCCGTGACCTCCTAGTTCATAGGTCGATGCTCAACCACTGAGCCACACCAGCTTCTGTCGCCGACGTCCTCCGTCTCCTAAAGGCCCGTCTCCTCTCCTCTCTTCCAGACCTAACCACCGTGGTGGGCGCTGCGTATTTACAGAAACCCCTGGAAGCTTGAGCGCCTGGTTGTCCCACGTTCTCAGATTTGCTACGAACCCACATGGTCCTCGTCGTCATTGACTGAACCCCGTTCGTATGTCCTTGATTCACATTCCTCTCCGTTCGTGTTTAGAGAAAGGGAAAGAAAAAAAAAAAGGAGAGAGACATTTTAGCCTTTTTTAAAGTTATTGATATCATTTCTTTATTACTTGGTTGCATGAAGTCGCCCTTTAACCACTGAGGATGATCGAGATTTTTTGCACAAACGTATGTATACATGTTCTAGGATCCTTCTACCGAGGCAGCTCCCTGCCTTGCTCCGCCTCCTCCACACACTCGGTTCAATATCAATGTGTTTTTTTGTGTGCGTGTTTTTTTTTTTAACGACCACTCAACAGGATACGTGTCTCCTCTTCTGGGTGCCAGGCCCCGAGAAACATTTTCTAGATGCGTAACGCTGGCGTAGGAAGACGCAATGCAAAGGGTTCTTCCCCCTTGAGGCCGGTGTCAAGTTTAACCACATTGTGAGATATCGATTCCGTGTTAGAAATAGCCCGTCGACAGCTTCTGCGGGCTCACTGCTGTTAGGTACGCGCGCCCGGTCTCTGTACGTGATGAGGTCAGCGCGTCTTTTTGTGTGAACGCCAACCAATAGGCCACACGTTCCTTCCCCCGCTGCTGAGACCATTCCAGCGAGCCACGCGAGGTGGGAACTTGACATTTTAAAGCTGCACATCAGACAGAGCATCGACTTTTAAACACACACTTTTTTTAAAGAGCTTTTCTTTCGGGGCTAGGATTAGGGTAGCCGCCCTCCACGCACACGCCCGCCGTTCTACGTGTACATTCTCGTTGCCGTTGTGACCACAGAGAGTTTTATTTATTTTTTATGCCAGCCTGTCTCGTGGGGACACGTTTAGTCCGTTTGGGTTGCCTCAATCCCGTTCTGCTTGTCTTTGGAACATATTTCACGTACTCGAGGTTTGTAGTTGAAACGTTTACTGTAAAAAAAAAAAGGAGAAGAGGGGAGAAAAAAAAAAAAAGGAAAAAAAATGTATTGTTTTTACAGAATAAATCTATCGGAATGTGTCCTGGGAGTAAAGGTTTGAGGTTGTAAACCACTAAGTTGGTGTAACTTGGCTTCATACATGTAACGTGAGGTATTGATGTCATTCACATATTAAAGCGAAGTCTGTTGACAGCAAGTTGGCAATAGAACCAGTGCAGGTGAGGGTTTTATTTCCATTCTCTCTCCGGGCCGCGAGGGGCTTCTGTGAACACTGAGGGAGGGGAAGGGATGGCCTGCGGTTGCTTATCTGTCTACGATGCTTACCAGCTCCCTGACCCTAAGCTCAGACACTGGACGTGATCCGGGTTTTTCTCTGGGCCCTGTTCTCTTCTACTTTCCTATTTTGGCGAAGAGCTAATCAATGACAGGAAGATAAAATGTGAGAAGCCGGAAAGTCCCAGAGCTGTTCGTGATGAGAATGGTGGCCGTGAATATTGGCAGCCGAGGCTCAGAATGCTCTGAGGAGGCAGCTGGCTGTCGGTTCTCTCATTCAGCAAATCCTTTTCTTTCGTATACTGTTCTCACTCACACTTCCAAATGTGAACGTTCATTAAAAGACACTAGGAAATGCCCTGGCCGGTGTGGTTCAGTGGATAGTGTCAGCCTGCAGACGGGAGGGTCCCAGGTTCGATTCCCGTTAAGGGCATGTTCCTCGGTTGCAGGCTCTTCCCCAGCCCTGGTCAGGGCATGCAGGAAGCAACCAATCAATGTATCTCTCTCACTTTGATATTTTTTCTCTTTAAAAATCAATAGGAAAATATCCTTCGGCGAGGATTTAAAAAAAGATAGTAGAAATGACAATCCAGTTCTTTAAAGGTCTTTTAAACTTTGAGCGTTTTAATTTAATTTAAAATTAATGAAGTTTGATTCACCACCCGATTCATCATATTTAGTGGTTTGCTGACACTAAAACATAATGAGAATGTAGGTGGCGTTTTGAATTGGAACTTATAAATGACAGGTTTTTAAAATAAACTACAAAACCGTATGAGAAAAAATGTTTCCCATTAAATGAGATTTGTCATCATAAAAGGTCAAAAATAATTTTATTAAAAATATACACAGAAATACAATAGAAATCTCTCCTTTCACCAGTTAGACAAGTATTCCATTAAGGATAATGATAAGGTTATCGATTCCTCCTTAGCTGTTTAAACTCACAGAAACATTTTAGTGAGAGCAGTTTTTAAAACAGCATATACTTTAAAATATACTTTCCCTGGGAAGACATTTTTCAAATAACATTGTAAAATACTCTGATCATTTGCCTTTTATATTGATGTTGATAATGAAGCACAGACGTCTTATATGCAAAGATATTTTCCAATCTCAATTGGCTATTGTGAATTTTTAATATGCATACCTACTCTGAACAGTCATGTTTCACGCATATGTAGTATGTGCAAACAGAACATTGAGACGGTCAAGTTTATTCAAAAAAAAAAAAAATTGAATATATCTCTTTAAACTGTTTCTCTCAATAACTTCAGCTTTCCTTCAAAAAATAAAAACAAGTTGACCCACGCAGCCCCATAGATAGCTCACATACTCAGTGCAGAACGGAAGGGAGTGGAATGAGACAAAACCCCAGAACCAGGGTCTCCAGATCCCGCGAGAAGAGCCGCGGGAAGTCGTGTCTGCCCTCACTCGGCCTTCTCCTCCGCCCTTGCCTTCAGGAAGAACTCGGGCGCGCAGACGCAGCGGTAGGCCAGCAGCTGGGGCAGCGCCCCGTAGGCCATGTTCAATGCCAGGAAGAGGATCTTGGCTTCCTCGGGCACTCTGTAGGTGTAAGCAGTTCTGGCATGGAGAGAAGCACCGATGTGGGAGAACTGAGCCTGTGGCGGCAAAAAGAAGGGGAAAAGCGTGAATTTGGGGATCAGCTGGGAGAGTCCTGACTCATTCATTCAGACCTTGTCTCTACACCCTCAAAGACGAGTGCTTTTGGATAATCCGTAGTCTTGACTATGTTACTGAATGCAGGGCCAGTCTGGACAGAACTGTTCAAATAAAGTATACCTTTTTTAAAAAAAATATAATATATATTTTATTTTACAGAGAGGAAAGAAGAGGGATAGAGTCTAGAAACATCGATGAGGGAGTGACATCGATCAGCCACCTCCTGCACACCTCCTACTGGGGATGTGCCCTCAACCAAGGTCCATGCCCTTGACCGGAATAGAACCCGGGACCCTTCAGTCCGCAGGCTGACGCTCTATCCACTGAGCCAAACCAGTTTCAGCTAAGAATACCTTCTTTAGCGTGGCTTTATCACACCAGCTGTGTTGACCCATCCAGGGCCCCATAGCAAACATTAGTAAGTCAGCGTAATAGAAAAATCTGAATAAAATCTCAGGTGATTTTTTTGTTTTGTTTTGTTTTCCGATTTGCATTCTGAGGATCCTGTAATGCAACTCGGTCGTGGCTCACAAAATGTGCTCCCATAAGAATGAAGAAAGTGCAGCCCTAGCCAGTGTGGCTCAGTGGATAGAGCGTAGGCCCACAGGCTGAAGAGTCCTGGGTTCGATTCCAGTCAAGGGCTCGCACCTTGGTTACAGGCTCCCCCGCACTGGTCAGGATGCATGCAGGAGGCAACCAGTCCTTGTGTCTCTCTCATATTGATGTTTCTCTCTCTCTCTTCCTCCCTCTAAAAATCATGGGAAGATATCTATTTAAAAAGCAACACTGGGGACCTCGGTTTCATGTGTCAGTTTTTTACCTACTCCCTGAAGCAAAAGCTCAAAGCCCTTGATTGTGTATTTTTTGCTTATTTCTTTATTCATGTATTTCTTTTTTTATTTTAATATATTTTATTGATTTTTTTTTTTACAGAGAGAGAAACATCATCAGCTGCCTCCCGCACACCCCCTACTGGGGATGTGCCCGCAACCAAGGCACATGCCCTTGACCGGAATCGAACCCGGGACCCTTCAGCCCGCAGACCGACGCTCTACCACTGAGCCAAACCGGTCTTGGCCAGGCCGTCTTTTTTGATGCAAAAAGCATCAAATTTTTTTTTGTGAAAAATAAGAATGGGAAAACTGTATTAGAAAAAGGCTTCTGTGAGATCTCCTCAGGAGAAAAGATGTTGGGTTTGAGAATGGAACCGGGGACCCTTTGGCCTGCAGGCTGACGCTCTAGCCACTGAGCCACACCAGCTTGGGTGCTATAACTGTTTTTTTATTGTCAGGAGTTCCAGTAAGAGTCTGGAAGGGAAATGCCTTGTGTGACTCAGGAGGTCCCTTTACTGATCTGTAGCCGTGCGTATTGTGTCTCATTAGCTACAAATCGGAGCCGGGAGAAAGTTTTGGACACAATGGGTTTGGCAGGGAGCCCGGCACACCATCCAGTGAACAAACTCAGGGCCACGGGAGCCAGAACGGATCCAGTCCGTCAGGCAACGCCCTTCCCACCGAGGCCTCTGGACACCCCCTCCGGCCAGGCAGGTACCTCCAGCTTTCTCACCAAAGGGTCTGGAGCTCAAACCGGTGTGGCTCAGTGGATAGAGTGTTGGCCTTTGGACTGAAAGGTCCCGGGTTCGAGTCGGGTCAAGGGCATGTATTGGTTGCGGGCACATCCCCAGTGGGGGGTGTGCAAGAGGCAGCTGGTCGGTGTCTCTCTCATCGATGTTTCTAGCTCTCTATTCCTCTCCCTTCCTCTCTGTGAAAAATCAATAAAATACATTTTTAAAAAAAGGAGGGGGGGGGGCGTCTGGAGGCCGCTCTGCGGACAATTTAATTGTAAAGAGCTGGCTCTACTTGGAGGTGAATTTTTAAACTTTTCCTTTATGGGAACCTTTAAGAAATACCTGAAAATAAGAGATTAGGACAGCCCTAACGGGTTTGGCTCAGTGGATAGAGCATCAGCCTGCAGACTGAAGGGTCCCGGGTTCAACTCCAGTCAAGGGCACATGCCCAGGTTGCGGGCTTGATCCCCAGGAGGGGGCGTGCAGGAGGCAGCCTGCCAAGGATGCTCTCATTCTTGATGTTTCTCTCTCTCCCCTCACTTTCTAAAATCAATTAAAATTTAAAAAAAAAAAAAAAAAAAGCACGTAGGAGACATGTCCAGTTACAGCCAAATGCCTAGAGTGCATAGCGCATCGCGTCCTCGGGTACCTGCGCCAGGCCTCCCGCGTGAAGCAGGCTGAGGTCGGGCATCCAGGAGCATCCGGGCACCACCAGCCCGTAGAGCGCCACCAGGAAGTACGGGACGGAATAGAAGAGGTGCACCAGCATCTGCGTCAACAGAGACAGACACGTCTGTGTCGCACACCGGCCGGCCCGTCCCCCCGGGGAGAGCACGGAACACGGACACGTGCACGGGTGAGCCCGTTCATTCCCGCTGCCCAGGCGCGACCGCGCGTTCCCGTTCTCATCGCGGGGGGACGGAAAAGTCTCAGGATCCGCCGCCTCCTGACCTGGATCTTGGGGTACGCGGCAGGGTCCTTCAGATAAGGCTCCTGGAACTGGGTGTACACGCGGCAGAGCTCGGCGGGGCAATCCAGAGCGATCTGGGGACGGAAAGGAGCTCGTTGTCAAGATGCAGTCACAGCCCTCGCTGGTGTGGCTCAGTGGATAGAGCGTCGGCCTGCGGACTGAAAGATCCTGGGTTCGATTCCCGGCAAGGGGGCATGTACCTTGGTTGCGGGCACATCCCCGGTAGGGGTTGTGCAAGAGGCAGCTGGTTGATGTTTCTAGCTCTCTATCCCTCTTCCTTCCTCTCTGTAAAAAAATAAATAAAATATATAATAATAATAAAATAAAATTTAAAAAAAGATTGCAGTCACCGCCCTCGCTAGTTTGGTTCAGTGCTTAGAGCGTTGGCGTACAGACTGAAAGTCCCAGGTTTGAGTCCAGACCTGACCCCAGTAAGGGGCGTGCAGGAGGCAGCTGAGCAATGATTCTCATCCTTTTTTCTCTCTATCTCTCTTCCTTCTTCTCTGAAATTAATAAAAATTATTTAAAAACAAGAAAAAAAGATACAGCCGAAACCGTTTGGCTCAGTGGTAGAGTGTCGGTCTACGGACTGAAAGGTCCCGGGTTCGACTCCCGTCAAGGGCGTGTACCTTGGTTGCGGGCACATCCCCGGTACAGGGTGGGCAGGAGGCAGCTGGTCGATGTTTCTCTCTCATCGGCGTTTCTAGCTCTCTATCCCTCTCTCCTCCTCTCTGTAAAAAATCAATAAAAAATATATTAAAAAGAAGAAGAAAAAAAGATAGTCACAGCTGACTCTTCTGTTGGCTGATGAGGCCAAATGTACCAGCTTTAGTCACAACAGCTTTGCTCTTTAACAAAAACATGTGGGAGAAGGTCCTTCGTGAACGGGGAGGGACCCTGCAGGTGCCCTGGGGGCACATGAAGCCCAGGCGAACTGGAGCTGACGGATTTGGTTTTAAGTTCCAGGTTCCGCCGAAACCGGTTTGGCTCAATGGATAGAGCGTCGGCTTGGGGACTGAAGGGTCCCAGGTTCGATTCCGGTCAAGGGCATGTACCTTGGTTGCGGGCATATCCCCAGTAGGGGGTGTGCAAGAGGCGGCTGATCGATGACTCTCTCATCGATGTTTCTAACTCTATCTCTCTCCCTTCCTCTCTGTAAAAAATCAATTAAAAAAAAAAATATATATATATATACACACACACACACACACACACCGTATTTTTCAGACCATAAGACGCACCGGACCATAAGACGCACCAGTTTTTAGAGAAGGGAAATGAAGAAAAAAAGATTCTGAAACAAATAGTGTCCTAAAATATTTTATGTGCATTAAAACCCAACATCACAGTCATAAACACATGTAATCAACCCTGTAAAGTAAACAGCAGCATTTAGAGCCGGGCAAGCACACAGAGACCACACAGAGCCGGGCAAGTAAAAAAACTTTTTTTTAAAGTATATGTGTAGGCTATATTTGAACCATAAGACGCAGGGACTTTTTCCCCCCACTTCTGGGGGGAAAAAAGTGCGTCTTATGGTCCGAAAAATACGTGTGTGTGTGTGTATGTGTGTGTGTGTGTATGTATATATATATATATAAAGTTCCAGGTTCCGCCAGCAGAGCACGCACTGCCTGCTTCTCCAGGGAAGAGCCAGCCTCCCGTTCCCCGCAGGAAGGACCCCCCCTGCCTTTCTGCACCGGGTTCATCTCACTGCGCTTTGCAAGATTCGCCAACAGCCGCCTCTGTCCAGGGCCTCGTGGGAGGACTGCCCGGTCAGGGTGCTGGGAGGCCTGGCAGACACGTTCCTTGGATCTGTTCCGCTTACCAAGCCTCTAAACAGGCTAAATCCAGTTGCCAGGAGGAGGCATATGACCAGCAGGAAGTCCAATGGTCTTCTCAGCAGGTCCTTTGCTTGGACCTCTTGAACAACCTAAAACAGAGTTTGCAACCGCTGAGCAGGTGGGGGTGAGGGGGGGGGACCGGGGACCCACTGAGACACGGATGACAGGAGAAGGTGAAGACTCCTCATGGCTGGGGCTTCAGGACAATCATAGCATACACTCCAATCGTGCCGAAACCAGTGTGGCTCAGTGGATAGAGCGTCGGCCTGCGGACTGAAGAGTCCCAGGTTCGATTCCGGTCAAGGGCATGTGCCTTGGTTGCGGGCACATCCCCAGTGGGGGGTGTGCAGGAGGCAGCTGGTCGATGTTTCTCTCTCATCGATGTTTCTAGCTCTCTATCCCTCTCCCTTCCTCTCTGTAAAAAAATCAAATATATATATATATATATATATATATATATATATATATATATATATATATATAATTTTTTTTTAATCACCTTGGACGGGTAATGGCAATATTCCGGCTGCTGATTATAGATCCTGACACCGGCCCAGACAGGGAGACATGTGTACGGGATGCTTAAGATGAAAGCAGGGCAGATGCGTGTCCCAAACTTCCCTGTTTAAAAGAGAGAAAGGGAAAGTCAGAAGGTTACCAAAAGCATATATAACCTCAAGCCAGTCATCTAAAATTCCACTATGGACCAGACAATATTCTAACCAGAAAAGCCAGATCAGCCAAAGCCGGTGTGGCTCAGTGGGTAGAGCGCCGGCCTGTGGACTGAAGGGTCCCGGGTTCGATTCCGGTCCAGGGCATGGACCTTGGTTGCAGGCACATCCCCAGTGGGAGGTGTGCAGGAGGCAGCTGGTCCATGTTTCTCTCTCATCGATGTTTCTAACTCTCACTCCCTTCCTCTCTGTAAGAAAATCAATAAAATATATATATTTCAAAAATAAATAAAATAAAAACAACCCCCATTGTTTCAGAAAAGGAAAGTGAGTTTCAAGATCAAGTTTCTTACCTACAATGTTTCCCGGTACAAAAACCACCATGCTCATCATTATCGATCCGACCCAGTACAGGCCGATGTTTCTGTAACTTTCCCTGTAACAAAAAGACCCTGGCTGAGCATGCCATCTGCCACAGACAAGCCACAAATGTTACCTTTATCCTCACTAACAAAGTACCCGGATGGGAACCTCCTGGAGACTCCTAACCCGGACACAGGGACCCCTGATGCTCTCCCTCCATTTCCCTCTGTGACAAACCACAGAACCTGCTCCTTTTGTTTTTTTTACAGAGAGGAAGGGAGAGGGAGAGAGTCAGAAACATCAATGAGAGAGTAACATCGATTAGCTGCCTCCTGCACCCCCACTCCCCCAGTGGGGATTCGTCCGCAACCAAGGTACATGCCCTTGACCGGAATCAAACCCAGGACCCTTGAGTCTGCAGGCCGACACTCCATCCACTGAGCCAAACAGGTCAGGGCCCGAGGATATTTTTCCATTGATTTTAACTAGTAGAGAGAGAGTAGAAGGGAAGGAGAGGGAAACATCGATGTGAGAGAGACATGGATTGGTTGCCTCCTGCACACACCCAGACCAAGGTCCCAGCCAGGGAAATGGCAGCCAAGGTACGTGCCCTTGACTGGAATCGAACCCAGGACCTTTCAGTTAGAAGGCATTTAGGAGGCAGCCGATCAATGATTCTCATCATTGATATTTCTCTCTCTCTCTCTCTCTCTCTCTCTCTCTCTCTCCTCTCTTCTCTCTTCTCTCTCTCTCCCTTCCTCTCTGAAATCACTTTAAAACAAAGGTGCTGGGCCTTAACCGGCTTGGCTCAGTGGATAGAGCGTCAGTCTGTGGACTGAAGGGTCCCAGGTTCAATTCCGGTCAAGGGCATGTACCTGGGTTGCGGGCACATCCCCAGTGGGTGTGCAGGAGGCAGCTAACCGATCTCTCTCTCTCATCGATGTTCCTAACTCTCCCTCTCCCTTCCTCTCTGTAAAAAAAAATCAATAAAATAGATTTTAAAAAATAGGTAAATAAGAAATAAAAAGAACGTGCCGGGCTTTTATTCCTGAAAACCCCTGCTCTCCGAAGAGAACAAAATCAGGAAGTTAAGGTCTGCCCGAACCATCACCTTGGCAGGGGTAACCCGAGAGCCAGGAGCCAAGGGCCGTGGACCACAGAACGCAGGGTCTGTCTGTCTGTCTGTCTGACTCATCTCCAAGGAGCAAGCAGCCTTCCATCCGGGGACACCCATCTGTCCGCTCTCCCCTGCGTCCCCCTCACCTACCCCCTTAGCATCGGTTGCTAAGGCGACGAAGCGACTTACTCCCATGCGATGGCCGCCACCATCACCAGGTACATGAGGTAGTGGGCGGAGCCGTCCCAGTAGCAGACCATGTGGCCGTGCGCCGTGTTCAGGTACGGTTCGCCCTGCGGGGAGCACGGAGAGGGGGTCCGCTTTGTCCAGGGCACCCCGACACCCGCCCGGAACCCCAGACCTGCGCCGCGTGTGAAACTGTAAGTATCAGCTGAAACCGGTGTGGCTCAGTGGGTAGAGCGTCGGCTTGGGGACTGAGAGGTCCCGGGTTCGATTCCGGTCAAGGGCATGTGCCTTGGTTGCGGGCACATCCCCAGTGGGGGGTGTGCAAGAGGCAGCTGATCGAAAACTCTCTCATCGATGTTTCTGACTATCTCTCTCCCTCTCTGTACAAAATCAAAAATATATATATTTTTTAAATAATTAAAAAAAAAATGACCACACAAATTCTCAACTCATGTGAAGCTTGTCCTCTGCATTACATGCAGGTGAAGGAGGCTGGGAGGAGGGGGGACTGGCCCTGGGGCCGAAGGCTCAGGATGGGAAGGAAGCAGGGCTGTACCTCCCGCAGGTAGTGCGTCATGAACCCGTCGATGACCCCGTCCTGCTCCAGGCCGATGATGAGGTTCACCACGCTGGTGAAGCCGAACACCGCGTACACTGGGGAGAGAGCAGAAAAGAAAAAAAAATATCCTCAGGTGAGGATTTAAAAAAAAGAAAACATTAAAAAAAAAAAAAAAAAAAAAAAAAAAACAAGCCGAAACCGGTGTGGCTCAGTGGATAGAGCACATGTGTCAAACACAAGGCCCGCGGGCCAAATCCGTCCCGCCAGGCCTTGCAATGTGGCCCGCACCGCGCTGTCATCACTGCACTCCACTGCGTTTCCATCACAATGACAGTTTATGACTGTTCAGTAAACCATTCGGCCCGCGATTTAGGCTGGATTTTAGATTTTGGCCCCTTCTCTGATTGAGTTCGACACCCCTAGGATAGAGCATCGACCTGCGGACTGAAGGGTCCCAGGTTCGATTCCGGTCAAGGGCATGGACCTTGGTTGCGGGCACATCCCCAGTGGGAGGTGTGCAGGAGGCATCTGATCAATGATTCTCTCTCATGGATGTTTCTAGTAACTCTCTCCCTCTCCCTTTGTCTCTGTAAGAAAAAAAATCAATAAAATATATTTTTTTTAAAAAGAAAAATATATCCTCGGATGAGGATTTTAAAAAAGAAAAGAAAACATTAACAAAACAAAACAAAAAAACACCTGATAGCCTTTGGCCATAAAAATGAAGGAAATCCTGCCGAAACCGGTTTGGCTCAGTGGATAGAGCATCTGTCTGCGGACTGAAGGGTCCCGGGTTCGATTCCGGTCAAGGGCATGTACCTGGGTTGCGGGCACATCCCGGGTGGGGGGTGTGCAGGAGGCGGCTGATCGATGACTCTCATCAATGTTTCTAGCTCTCTATCCCACAGAGGGACAGGGACGGAGGGCAGTGACAGAGGCCACCTTGCTGAGCTGTTCAGCAGACACAGCAGCTTCCTGGCCAGGAAGGGAGAGAGCCGGGGAGGGACAGACAGACATACCATAGAACAGCGGGTCCCGGGGTGGCTTTCTCTTGACGAGGATTCGAGCCAACAGGGCCACCAGGAGCAGGATGAGGGCAGCAACCCCTACAATTGTCCAGAAGCTGCGGGACCAGAACAGGGAGGTGGTCACTCAGCTAAACAAACAGCCGGCGCTGGGCGTTTCCTGGCTGGTGAATGGTCAGTCGGTCCCGGCCCGGCCTCTGCCCGCAGCCCAAGCATGCGTGACATTTCTTTGCAGCTCCGTGGCCCCTCCTCCCCCGCCCCTGGAGACTTGGGGGGACCAGAGCCACCAGCTCCTCATTCTCTTGCCCCCGGCACAGGTGATGTGTCCCAGCGGCTGCTGCCTCTGCTCCTCCAGCCCCTCTCCCCTTAGTGGGAACGGGAAACCCTGGGACCACACACACCCCAGGAACCACCTGGAGTCACAGCTACCCACACTTTCCGGGGGACGAAGAGCCACAGGCCACATGTGTAATCAAAGGTACCAGGGGGCCCTAGCCGGTGTGGCTCAGTGGACAGAGCGTTGGACTGCAGACGGAAGGGTCCCAGGTTCGATCCCCGGTCAGGGCCCATGCCCAGGTTGCAGGCTTGATCCCCAAGAGGGGGCGTGTGCAGGAGGCAGCTGGTCGATGAGTCTCTCATTGTTAAACTATTTATTAATTTTAATATATTTTATTGATTTTTCACAGAGAGGAAGAGAGAGGGAGAGAGAGTTAGAAACGTCGATGAGAGAATCATCGATCAGCTGCCTCCTGCACACCCCGCATCGGGGATGGGCCCGCAACCAAGGTACATGCCCTTGACCGGAATTGAACCCGGGACCCTTCAGTCCGCAGGCCGATGCTCTATCCACTGAGCCAGACCGGTCTCAGCAATAAGAATATTTTTTATTTATTTATTTTTATTTTTTAATTATTTTATTAAATTATTATGTGTGTACATATACCATTGCCCCCCCATACATGCCCTAAAAATATATTTTAAAAATAATAATAATAATAATAATAATTTTTATAAATTTTTATAAATTAACACCGGCCTGTGGACTGAAAGGTCCCAGGTTCAATTCCGGTCAAGGGCATGTACATTGGTTCTGGGCACATCCCTGGTAGGGGGTGTGCAGGGGGCAGCTGGTAGATGTTTCTCTCTCATCGACGTTTCTAGCTCTCTGTCTCTCTCTCTTCCTCTCTGTAAAAAATCAATAAAATATATTAAAAATATATATATATACATTTTATTCATTTTTTTTTAATTTTTTTTTTTACAGAGAGGAAGGGAGAGGGATAGAGAGTCAGGAGCATCAATGAGAGAGAAATATCGATGAGAGAGAAACATCGATCAGCTGCCTCCTGTACACCCCATACTGGGGATGTGCCCGCAACCAAGGCACATGCCCTTGACCGGAATTGAACCCGGGAACCTTGAGTCCGAAGGCCGATGCTCTGTCCACTGAGCCACACCGGTGAAGGCTAGCAGGCTAATGTGTAAGTGGATAACTGTAAGGCCAGTGAATGATGTTACAAATATCCAAATGGCCGTTGGCAGGAAAAAGGTTTCCCACCCCTGACTTCCTGGACAGGGGACGGCGGGAAGGAAGGAGTGGAGAAAGAAGAGGGAGGGGTCAGAGGCTATTGGGATTGCAGCCCGCAGGTGAACAGGAAGAATGGATGGAACAGCCAAAACCGGTTTGGCTCAGTGGATAGAACGTCGGCCTGCAGACTGAAGGGTCCCAGGTTCGGTTCCGGTCAGGGCCATGTACCTTGGTTGCAGGCACAACCCCAGTGTGGGGCATGCAGGAGGCAGCTGATCAAAGATTTTAAATCTATCTCTCTCGCTTCCTTTCTGTAAAAAAAATCAATAAAATATATTAAAAATAAAAAAGAATAGATGGATGCCGAAACCGGTTTGGCTCAGTGGATAGAGCGTCGGCCTGGGGACTGAAAGGTCCTGGGTTAGATTCCAGTCAAGGGCATGTACCTTGGTTGCGGGCACAACCCCAGTGGGGGGTGTGCAGGAGGCAGCTGATCAATGATTCTCTCTCATCGATGTTTCTAGCTCTCTATCCCTCTCCCTTCCTCTCTGTGACAAATCAATAAAAATATATTTTAAAAAATAAAAATAATTATTCGTTGATTTGTTTTAAAGGCCATTTTAGGGGCGCAGGGTCCCCCATGCAGTATATTTGCGTGCTCCGGGAGTTGTGCTCCCCCAGACTGGGTCAGGCCGAGCTGCCCGTGCCTGGGGACCGCTCCGGATGATGGACAGACGCCATCTGGGCACGGGAGGAGGCAGCCAGCGGTGGCCGGAGCGGCGACTGAGGAGGAGGAAGTCACGGCCCTGTGGGCAGACACTTCTCCGCAGCCTGGAAACCGGGAGGGGGTTTGCAGCCTAAGGTCTGATGCAATTTCCTTAGCGCCAACTGCTGTGGGCAACAAAACAGGTTACTTCCTCCTCCTGCAAACAGGGAACATCAGCCTGGCCAGGACCCTGGCATCTTTCCCGCCGTCACTGGGCAGGCCTGCAGCTGCCAGCTGCCCCTGCTGCTGGGTCCCTTAGCCAGGCATCCCCCAGCCCCAGGGCATGGCTCTGAACGAAACCCACCTGAGGCTCCACCCATTTCCTTAGCAGCCAGACACACCCCCCTCTTACCTCCTTCCCCTCTCCCCCTGGCTCCCTGCTCCCCATCCCACCTAGAATGCAAGTGCAGGACCGAAACCAGTGTGGCTCAGTGGATAGAGCGTCAGCCTGCGGACTGAAAGGTTCTGGGTTCGATTCCGGTCAAGGGCATGTGCCTTGGTTGCGGGCATATCCCCAGTAGGGGGTGTGCAAGAGGCAGCTGATCGATGATTTTCTCTCATCGATGTTTCTGACTCTCTGTCCCTTTCTCTTCCTCTCTGTAATAAATCAATAATATATGAAAAAAAGAATCCAAGTGCAGGGCCATTGCACAGAGCAGAATACTGAGGCCCAGGCCACACCCTCCATGCCCACGTTGGGTCTGGAACCCAGGTCTTTGCCCCCCTCCCTGGTTCAGGGCTTGCTAGCTCTACTAAGTCATTTTTGAACAGTTTCTAACATGAATAAGACACGAGAGTGCCGAGACCGGTTTGGCTCAGTGGATAGAGCGTCGGCCTGCAGACTGGGGCGGTCTCAAGTTCGATTCCAGTCAAGGGCATGGACCTCGGTTGCAGGCACATTTCTGGTGGGGGGTGTGTAGGAGGCGGCTGATGGATGATTCTCTTTCATCGATGTTTCTAACTCTCTATCCCTCTCTCTTCCTCTCTGTATAAAAATCAATAAAATATATTTAAAAAATTGCTGAAACCGGTTTGGCTCAGTGGATAGAGCGTTTGTCTTTGGACTGAAAGGTCCCGGGTTCGATTCCGGTCAAGGGCATGGTCCTTGGTTGCGGGCACATCCCCAGTGGGGGATGTGCAAGAGGCAGCTGATCGATGATTCCCTCTCACCGATGTTTCAAACTCTCCCTCTCTCTTCCTCTCTGTAAAAAAATCAATAAAATATATATATTTTTTAAAAAAGACGAGAAGTATGTGTGTGTCCATACATGGTCACGTTCCTGGGAAACGCGCAACGGCTGGCGCGCTGGGCACCCGGCCGCGGTGCCCTCCCGCCTCCACGCCCTCCCCCCCCCCTCCTCAAGGGCAGGGGGTGCACCGCCTTCCCCAGCACCGTTACCCGGGGCCCTGGCGCCCCTGGCACCGCGCGGGTCCCCAGCAGGTGGCCCAGGATCGCGCCTGAGCCAGGACCCCAGTCTCAGCGATCGGGGTCACCGGGGCGCGCCTCCTCCTTCCCCCTCTGCGCCCCTGCGCGCCCTCCCCTTTCCCAATCCAGCCCGCGGGGCCCCGGAGGCCAGCGAGCGCCCCAGGACCAAGTCTGAGAAGTTGGGGGGCTCCCTCCGCACCCCCTCCGAGCCCCCCCGCCCCCGCACTCACTCGTGCTGCGCCGCCAGGTGGTTGAAGACGTAGGTGACCGGGATGGCCGAGAGGGACAGCACGAAGACGCCGGTGGCCGCCGTCGCGCTCATCGCCGCCGCCCGCGGCCGCCCCGCGGGCAAGCGCCCCCTCCGCGCGCCGTCCGTCCGCCCGTCCGCGCGCCCGAGCGTCCGTCCGCTCCGATCGGGGCGCAGGGCGGCCGCGCAGACCTGGGGGGCGCGGTCCTCCTACTCAGGGGCCCCCGGGGCACTCAGACCGCTGCGCCGCCGGGTCCGGGTCCGCCGAGGGGCGGCGACCGCGTCCTGCCCGGGGACAGGTGCCCGCGGGGAGGCGGGCCGGCGGGGGGCGGGGCCAGGGCCGGGGGCGGGGCCAAAGTGGGCCTGGCCCCACTCCGGCATCCAGTGTGGGAACCCCTCGCCCCCCAGATTCAGAAAGGGGCTGGTGATGGCCCCAGCCGGTGTACTTCAATGGATCGAGCGTTGGCCTGCGGACTGAGGGGTCCCAGGTTTGATTCCAGTCAAGGGCATGGACCTTGGTTTAATGCACATCCCCAGGAGAGAGTGTGCAAGAGGCAGCTGATGGGTGTTTGTTTCTCTATAATCAATGTTTCCAACTCTCTAGCCCTCTCCTTTCCTTTCTGTAGAAATCAATAAAATATATATATAAAAAAAAAAAGAGCCGAAACCAGTTTGGCTCAGTGGATAGAGCGTGAGCCTGCGGACTGAGGGGTCCCAGATTCGATTCCGGTCAAGGGCATGTACCTTGGTTGCAGGCACATCCCCAGTGGGGGGTGTGCAGGGGGCAGCTGATCGATGATTCTATCTCATCGATGTTTCTAACTCTCTAGCCCTCTCCTTTCCTCTCTGTAGAAATCAATAATATATATATATACATACATATATATATATATATATATAGAGAGAGAGAGAGAGAGAGAGAGAGAGAAAGAGGAGGAGAAGGAACTGATGACCCCAAAACCTAGGAACCCTTCCAGGGAGCAGCCAGCCGCGGGCAGCAAGCACAGCTCCTGCATAGAGTCCTAATTCCGTTTTATTTATTTATTTTTTTTTTTAAGATTTCAGAGAGGAAGAGAGAGAGATAGAAACATCAATGATAAGAGAGAATCATTGGCCCTGATTGATTTGGCTCAGTGGGTAGAGCGTCAGTCTGCGGACTCAAGGGTCCCAGGCTTGATTCTGGTCAAGGACATGTGCCTTAGTTGAGGACACATCCCCAGGGGGGAGGTGTGCAGGAGGCAGCTGATTGATGTTTCTCTCTCATAAATATCTTTTTTTAAAAATATATTTTATTGAGCCGAAACCGGTTTGGCTCAGTGGATAGAGCGTCAGCCTACGGACTGAAGGGTCCCAGGTTTGATTCCTGTCAAGGGCATGTACAGTACCTTGGTTGCAGGCACATCCCCAGTGGGGGGCGTGCAAGAGGCAGCTGATCGATGTTTCTCTCTCATCTATGTTTCTCACTCTCTATCCCTCTCCCTTCCTCTCTGTAAAAAACCAATAAACAAAACAAAACAAAACAAAAAACACAGTGCCAGGCATAGAGCACATGCTCTCCACTCAAGAGAAAGAGAGAGAGAGAGAGAGAGAGAGGAGAGAGAGAGAGAGAGAGGAAGCAAGCTAGGTGGGGTTACAAAAGAGAGGGGGCAGGGAACTAGAGAAGGAAAAAATCTGCAAGAAAGTGATAAGAAAGGGACCGTGGAGGTACAGTTCGCCTGTGCATGTCTGTCCAATGGTCCACTGCTGCTGCTCAGTGAGGGCTGCCCCCTGGTCCTGGGTTTCCTAGCAACCAGAGCAGAAGAGAAACACAATCAGTGCTCACGTCCGCGGAGCCCAGAAGCTGGAAGCAGAGCAGATGCTCCGCAGCTTCTCCCAGGGGCCCTCTCCCAGGGAACACGGTGCCGGGGAGCATGTCCTCAGCACCGTTTTCCGGCTCCAAATATAGAACCTGCTTCTCAGCAGCTGTCTCTCGGCACAGCCTCAAGGCGAGAGGCTGGCTTATTGCCAAGAGACCCCTGGGTGCCTCCACGAAGTCAAAAGGACTTCACACAAATGAGCGTCTTTCTGGCGCTGTAGGTTGGTCCAGAGATAAACGTTAGAATGTCTGAGGCAGAGCCGAAACCGGTGTGGCTGAGTGGATAGAGCGTCAGACTGCGGACTGAAGGGTCCCAGGTTCGATTCCAGTCAAGGGCACATACCTTGGTTGTGGGCACATCCCCAGTAGGGGGTGTGCAGGAGGCAACTGATCGATGTTTCTCTCTCCACTGCTCCCTTCCTTTCTGAAATCAATAAAAATATATTCAAATAAATAAATAAACAAGCAAACTTTTTTTTTTTTTTTTTTTAAGAGCAAAGGTGAAAAAATCAGCTTTGTAAAGAAGGGAAGCCCTAACCAGTTTGACTCCGTGGATAGAGCGTCGGCCTGCAGTCTGAAAGGTCCCAGGTTCGATTCCGGTCAAGGGCACGTACCTGGGTTGCGGGCACATCCCCAGTGGGGAGTGTGCAAGAGGCAGCTGGTCAATGATTCTCTCTCATCGATGTTTCTTACTCCCTATCTTTCGCCCTTCCTCTCTGTAAAAAAACAAACAATGAAATATTAAAAAAAGAAAAAGAAAAGAAGGGAAATTTCAGAGGCGGCTGGGAGGAGAGCAAGCCGACCTACTTATAACGGGGTTGGTCTAGTTTCTGTCTCAGGGACGTGAGCAGGATGGGCCACGTGAAGTTCAATGTGTCCACATCGTCACCTGGTCTATATTTACCCCCCCGTAACCGGAGAGGCTGCATGGCCCAGCGATGTGAGCCCCGAAACCCGACCTGCTGCTTCGAATTTCATGTCTGGCCCTGGCACGCTTTTTCGTGGAAGGACATGCTTGTATCCCAGCAACCAAACTCCGTCTCCGTGGCTCCCGTCAAAGATTGGGAACGCGGGGTGGGGGCAGGTGATTCTGGCTCCTTCAGGACCTTGAGGCCCTGGGAAGATTTTTGTGAACACAACGATAGCCTTGACAATGTGTGGCCAACTGGGCGAATTATACTTATTGATCTCAAGCTTGTTCGCATCAAAATAGCAGGCGAGGGGGGAAATAACTGGCCGACACTGTTTTGGCTCAGTGGATAGAGCGTCGGCCTGGGGACTGAAAGGTCCAGGGTTCGATTCCGGTCAAGGGCACGGACCTTGGTTGTGGGCACATCCCCGGTAGGGGGTGTGCAAAAGGCAGCTGATGGATGTTTCTTTCTCACTGATGTTTCTGAGTCTCTATCCCTCTCTCTTCCTCTCTGTAAAAAATCAATAAAATATATATATATTTTTAAAAATTGCCCAAAGTGCCAAAACTGGTTTGGCTCAGTGAATAGAGCATCAGCCTGCGGACTGAAGGATCCCAGGTTTCGATTCTGGTCAAGGGCACGTACCTTGGTTGCGGGCACATCTCCAGTGGGGGGGGTGCAAGAGGCAGCTGATCAATGATTCTCTCTCATCGTTGATTTTTCTAACTTTCTATCCCTCTTCCTCTTTGTAAAAAAAATCAATAAAATATATATTTTTAAAAATTGCCCAAGGCCATGAAGAAAGTAAGTGGCCAAGATGTAATTCGAAACCAGCTGGTCTAGATTGCAAAGCCCTGCTCTTTGCCTTGTGATTTTTAAAAAAATATATATTTTTATTGATTTCAGGGAGGATGAGAGAGGGAGAGAGGGAGAGATAGAAACCTCAATGATGAGAGAGAATCATGGATCGGCTGCCTCCTGCACACCCCACCCTGAGGATCAAGCCCACCACCCAAGAGTGTGCCCTGACTGGGAATGGAACCAAGACCTCCTAGTTCCTAAGTCAACGCTCAACCACTGAGCCACACTGGCTGTGTTTGCCTTGCTCTTAACTAATACTGGTCACCAGCAGTTTTCCAACTTCTTTACACTTGGGTGCCCTTTTATCTGTTTTTTTTTTTTTAATATATATATCTATATATATTTTATTGATTTTTTTACAGAGAGGAAGAGAGAGGGATAGAGAGTTAGAAACATCGATGAGAGAGAAACATCGATCAGCTGCCTCCTGCACACCCCCCACTGGGGATGTGCACGCAACCAAGGTACATGCCTTTGACCGGAATCGAACCCGGGACCCATGAGTCTGCAGGCCGATGCTCTATCCACTGAGTCACACCGGTTTCAGCTATCTGTTTGTTTTTTTTTAATTTCTGGAGCCAGGCTCCTAGAAAAGCTTCTCAGAAACTCCTGACCCTAAGGAGAGGGAGGGCGATGTTGGTTTTTAGGGCTTAGGTCAATCACCGCTCGCTGAACAGTGTTAATACTCAGTTGTAAACAGGTCAAGTGTGGAGCTGGATAAATACCCTGTGGGCTCAGAGATCTTTGAGAGAAGACTGCTTATCCTACCCGAGGGGTCTGGCCAAGCCTGGATTGGACTCGTTTAGGATTTGCAAGGAGGAAGTCTTGGTTCCTCCAGATTTTTTAAAAAATATATATTTTATTGATTTTTTACAGAGAGGAAGGGAGAAGGAGAGAGAGAAACATCAATGAGAGAGAAACATCGACCAGCTGCCTCCTGCACACCCCCCACCGGGGATGTGCCCGCAACCAAGGTACATGCCCTTGACCGGAATCAAACCTGGGACCCTTCAATCTGCAGGCCGGCGCTCTATCCACTGAGCCACACCGGTTTCGGCATCCTCCAGATTTTTACTTCCCTTCTGCCCTGGAGATATCCTCGCAGCCTTAGGCAGAGAGGGAATTATTTCACACGCTTATCGGGCCCCGCTGGACACACGAGTCTTTTTTCTGCCTTTGGCCTCTTGACCTTGGCTTCTATTAATACCTGCAACACTCATCTCCTAGGCAGATGGTGAACCAGTCGCAGCTCCCTTTTCATGCGCTGCTGAGATAGAAAAATCCCAAGGACGTAATCATGGCCTTTTACCTATTTTAAATGTCTCCTCTTTCTCTGGCATTCAAATAATTCCCAAAGCAGGCTCTTTCTCGCTCTTTCTCCTGCCTGCCTTTTCTAGAGTTGTACTAAATGTGTTTTTTCTTTTTTTTTAATTTTCCCCCCAACAGGTTCTAATTATAAACTAGCACACACGATGACACGCACGACTTTCCCACGCTGAATTCAAAAAAAGCAATGACAAGCAAAGAAAGGAGAACTCCATATAAGCAAGCTGGATTTAGTGTAGGGCCTTGGCTGCCGCGTTTTCTTTTGACCTGAAAAAAATTTTTTATTTCTAGCTGCACAAGTCACAATGGGTTCCTCCCTTTTTTATTAGCTTCTTTGGGGTGAGTGATGTGTTCTAGTGATCTTTGTAATCTCACCCTAGTGCTCTGCACTTAACACGTATGAGTGCTGAAAAAGTCAAAGATATAACTGCAGCCAAGGCCGGCTTGGCTCAGTGGGTAGAGCGTCAGCCTGTGGACTGAAAGGTCCCAGGTTCGATTCCAGTCAGGGGCATGTACATCGGTTGCGGGCATATTCCCAACAGGGGATGTGCAGGAGGCAGCTGGTCGATGTTTCTCTCTCATTGATGTTTCTAACTCTCTATCCCTCTCCCTTCCCTTCTATAATAAAATCAATAAAATATATTAAAAAAGATATAAACTGCATTCTGTGGGATAGTTAATAGATAATATGGTGTGTGCAAGAGGCAGCTGATCAATGTGTTTTTTTGTTGTTGTTTGTTTGTTTTAATATATATATATATATATAATATATATATATTTTTAAAATATATTTTATTGATTTTGTACAGAGAGGAAGGGAGAGAGATAGAGAATTAGAAACATCGATGAGAGAGAGTCATCGATCAGCTGCCTCTTGCACACCCCCTACTGGGGATATGCCCGCAACCAAGGTACATGCCCTTGACCGGAATCAAACCCGGGACCTTTCAGTCCCCAAGCCGACGCTCTATCCACTGAGCCAAACCGGTTTCAGCTTGTTTTTAATATATTTTATTGACTTTTTACAGAGTAAGGGAGAGGGATAGAGAGTTAGAAACATCAATGATGTTTTGATCAGCTGCCTCCTGCCCACTGCAACCAAGGTACATGCCCTTGACCGGAATTGAACCTGGGACCCTTCAGTCCGCAGGCCAATGCTCTATCCACTGAGCCAAACCGGTTTCGGCATGATTGATGTTCATACCGTGGTGTGTTTCTAGGAATTTGTCCATTTCATCTAGGTCAGTGGTCAGTAAACTCATTAGTCAACAGAGCCAAATACCTTGAAATTTCTTTGGAGAGCCAACTTTTAAAAAATATATATATTTTATTGTTTTTTTTTACAGAAAGGAGAGCGATAGTTAGAAACATTGGTGAGAGAGAAACATCGATCAGCTGCCTCTTGCACCCCCCCCCCCCCCACAGGGGATGTGCCCGCAACCAAGGTACATGCCCTTGACCAGAATCGAACCCGGGACCTTTCAGTCCGCAGGCCGACGCTCTATCCGCTGAGCCACACTGGTTTCGGCTACACCTTCAAATTTGATGCTAGCATTTTGAGTCTTCTCCCCGCCCCCCTTAGTCTATCTAGTTATAGGATTACAATTTTTAAAATATATGTTATTGATGTCAGATAGAAAGGGAGACGGACAGAGATAGAAACATCAATGATGAGAGAAAATTATTGATTGGCCGCCTCCTGAATACCCCACCCTGGGGATGGAGCCTGCAACCCAGGCATATGCCCTTGACCAGGACTGGAACCCATGACCTCCTGGTTCCTAAATAGACGCTCACTCAACCACTGAGTTCCGCTGCAGGCAGGGATACACTATTTTTGCTGATACATTTGGGGTTCCTTTGAGATTTAAAATACAGTAAGCTTTTGGTGAATGGATTATAACATATTTAAAAAAAAAAAAAAAAAAAAAAAAGGAAAGTCGAAACCGGTTTGGCTCAGTAGATAGAGCATCCGCCTGCGGACAGAAGGGTCCCGGGTTCGATTCCAGACAAGGACATGTACTTTGGTTGAGGGCACATCCCCAGTAGGGGGCGTGCAGGAGGCAGCTGATCGATGACGCTCTCATTGATGTTTCTAATTCTCTCTTTCTCTCCCTTCCTCTCTGTAAAAAAATCAATAAAATATATTTAAAAAAAAAAAAAAAAAAAAAAGAGGCGAAGGGAAGGCGCTGGGGTAGCAGAAGTCAGCGGGCCGGGGCAGAGGGGGCAGAGAGGGCCGAGGGGGCAGAGGGGTTGGCCTTGGCCTTGGTCTCCTAATTCCCCTTCCGGCGATAAAGTCCCTGAGGACCCGCCCAGGGACCCGTCTCGGGTCCCCGCGGGGCGCCGCGGCCGGCGATGGGGGCCCACAGCCCGGCAGAGGCCGGGCGGCGCGCGCACAGACCTCGGCTGCTCTGGAGGCGGGGCCTGCGCGTTCCGGAAGCGCCTTCCCGGAAGTGCCTTTCCGGAAGCGCCGGGGGCGGGCCCAGTGGGCGGGGCTGGTGGGCGTCTCCGCGGTGTCGGAGGAGGAGGCGGCGGGCGGCGTCTCCGCGGCCGCGGGACGATGGCTTCGCTCGGTCCGGCCGATCCGGGCGAGCAGGGCCTGGGCTCCGAGGCGGAGGCGGGCGCCGCGGGGCCTCTTCCTCCTCCTCCGCCGCCGCTGCCGCCGCCACCGCCATCGTCGTTGGCGCTGGGCCCCCTGCTGCCCCTGCAGCGGGAGCCGCTGTACAACTGGCAGGCGACCAAGGCGTCGCTGAAGGAGCGCTTCGCCTTCCTCTTCAACTCGGAGCTGCTGAGCGACGTGCGCTTCGTGCTGGGCAAGGGCCGCGCCGGCGTCTCCTCCGCCGCCGCCGCCGCCGCCGCGGGGGGCCCCCAGCGCATCCCCGCGCACCGCTTCGTGCTGGCGGCCGGCAGCGCCGTCTTCGACGCCATGTTCAACGGCGGCATGGCCACCACGTCCGCCGAGATCGAGCTGCCCGACGTGGAGCCCGCCGCCTTCCTGGCGCTGCTGAGGTGAGCGGGGCCCGAGGCCCGGAGGTGACCTTGGCCGGGGGTTGCCCCCCGCCCGGCCCCGCCCGGCCCCGCCCGACTCGGCGCTGTCCCGGCCCCATGGGCGCCATCAAGGCCTCCGGGGGGCCCGGGCCTGTCGGCAGGGGCTCCCCCGCCGTTGGAAGGCGCCCTCGTCTCGCGTTCCAGCCGCGAGGGGGTGGGGGTGGGGGGGTTCCAATGGCGCGTGTGCCCAGTTCCGTGTTTAGGTTTTAGGGAAGGTACTGATGGAAAGGCTCAATGCATCCCCGACGACATGGCCGTTAAAAAAATAAATAAATAAATAAATAAAATAAAAATTAAAAAAAATATATATATATACACACACACACATATATATTAATATATTTTATTGATTTTGTACAGAGAGGAAGGGAGAGAGATACAGAGTTAGAAACATCGATGAGAGTCATCGATCAGCCGCCTCTTGCACACCCCCTACTGGGGATGTGCCCGCAACCAAGGTACATGCCCTTGACCGGAATCGAACCCGAGACCCTTCAGTCCCCAAGCCGACGCTCTATCCATTGAGCCAAACCGGTCTCGGCAAAGAAATATATTTTTTATTGATTTTTTTTTTTTTTTTACAGAGAGGAGAGAGAGAGGGATAGAGAGTTAGAAACATGGATGAGAGAGAATCATCAATCAGCTGCCTCCTGCACACCCCCCACTGGGGATGTGCCGGCAACCAAGGTACATGCCCTTGACCGGAATCGAACCTGGGACCCCTCAGTCCTCAGGCTGAAGCTCTATCCACTGAGCCACACCGGCCTCGGATGTTTGTTTTTGTTTTTTTGTTCTTTGCTTGTTTGAGGTTTGTTGGACTGACTTCTGGTTAATTTGATGGAATGGAAGGGAGCTGCTCGTGTGGCAGTGTTCTCTTGACAAGGTTGAGGGATTGCTTTTTGCACCGTTGACAAAGGGGGCTGAGGTCCAGAGGAGGCAGGTGGCTGGCCCGAGGTGGCAGAGTGAGCTCACGTCTGGGACCCTGTGAGTTCCCTGATACCGAGCCGGCTTTGGCTGCCGGAGTCCAGTATGTTGTGATGAAATAAATGGCCGAGACTTGCGTGTGATGGAGTGGTGAGAAGGGACCTTCCCGCCGAAACCGGTGTGGCCTAGTGGATAGAGCGTCGGCCTGAGGACTGAAGGGTCCTGGGTTCCTCCATTCGGGTCAGGGGCATGCACCTTGGCTGCAGGCACATCCCCGGTGCGGTGCGGGGTGTACCGGAGGCAGCTGATCCATGCTTCTTTCTCATCCCTGTTTCTAACTCTCTGTCTCTCTCCCTTCCTCTCTGTAAAAAATCAATAAAATATGTTGAAAAAAAAAAAGAAGTGATTTTCCTTCTGTTTTCTTCTTTTCTTTGTTTTTTGTAACTACTTCAATTATATTTATATTTCCAAGACAGATGGATAGTCCTAAAGGCTCACATCTAACCATGGAAGATCAATGTCCATGGTTAAAGGGCAGGATAGATGACTTAGGGGAAGTAAAAACAATACAACTAATTAGCAAAGAATGTTTCATTGCATTAGTAATTAAAGAAGTGCCAGTCAGAAATGAGGTTCTTTGCCTCTTAGACCCCCCACATTTTAAATTTTCCAAACATTTTATTTTTCAATTACAGTTGTCATTCAGTATTATCTTACTTTTGGGTGTACAGTGTAGTGGTTAGACAATTATATGATTTGGTAGAGGCCCGGTGCACGAAATTTGTGCACTGAGAGGGGGGTGTTTGTGTCTCTCAGCCCAGCCTGCATGCTCTCCAATCTGGGACATCCCTCACACAATTCAGGACTGCTGGCTTCCAACCACTTGCCTGCCTGCCAGCCTGATTAACACCTAACTGCTCCCCTGCTGGCCCGATTGCCCCTAACTATAACTAATTTTTTAAAGTCAGGAAGGGAGAGGGATAGAGAGCCAGAAACATCGATGAGCGAGAAACATCAATCAGCTGCCTCCTGCACTCCCCCTCCTGGGGATGTGCCCACAACCAAAGTAAGTGCCCTTGACCGGAATGGAACCTGGGACCTTTCAGTCCACAGGCTGACGCTCTATCCACTGAGCCACACCAGTTTCGACTGAGGACCGCTTTTTAAAAATGTAGGTATTGGCTGGCTGTGAAACAGATGACTGGGACGGAGAGATGTCTCTAGTTCACTCTTGCTCAAGTGGAGAAGCGGGTGAGCCTGGGCACACTTGCTGATTATGTTTACGGCTTGAATTAGTTCAGGTTGAAGGCTTTGGTACTTGCGTTTGAAGCACTTGAAACTGTTTCAGGGATGTTTTTCGGTTTTTCATTTGAGAAATACTGTGCCAGTCACTGTTTTAGATGTGGGAAACAGCAGTGGACAAGCAAAAGTCCTGGAGCTTATTCTCTATAAGGGAGAAGCAAAGATACATGCCAGGTACTGATAAGTGTTTTTTTTTTAAATATATTTTTATTGATTTTTTTTACAGAGAGGAAGAGAGTGGGATAGAGAGTTAGGAGAAACATCAATGGAAGAGAATCATCCATCAGCTGCCTCCTGCACACCCCCTCCTGGGGATGTGCCCACAACCAAAGTAAGTGCCCTTGACCGGAATTGAACTCGGGACCTTTCGGTCCGCAGGCCGCTGCTCTATCCACTGAGCCACACCGGTTTTGGCACTGATAAGTGTTTTGAAGGAAAAAGTGACCAAGCCACTAGGGCAGGAGCTTGCCAAGCAAGGGAAAGCCCTAAGTGTCTCCTGTTGGAGGAGCTTTAAGAGAGCAGCAGTGTGATTTGAGCAGAATGAGCAACAGGGAAAGAGGTGGGAGGTGAGGTGAAAAGGCCAGGCTGGCCGGGACCCCAGGCCGCCCAGCCGGTGTGTGGCCTTTGAGCCTCATCTGGTGTGCGGTTGGTACCCTGTGGTGAAAAGCCTGAGAGAGGGAGTGCTCCGATCGGATTTACATTTTTAGAAGCTCACTCTGGCAGCTGCTTGGAAATTAAATTAGACCGGAGAGGTGTCAGATGGGCAGTGGGAAGTTGAATGAAGAGGCTTCTGCAGCTGAAACTGGTTTGGCTCAGTGGATAGAGTGTTGGCCTGCGGACTGAAAGGTCCCAGGTTCGATTCCGGTCATGGGCATGGCCCTTGTTTGCGGGCACATCCCCAGTGGGGAGTGTGCAAGGGGCAGCTGATAGATGTTTCTCTCTCATTGATGTTTCTAGCTCTATCCTTCTCCCTTCCTCTCTGTAAAAAATCAATAAAATATATTAAAAAAAAAAAAAAGGACATAGGCTCAGGGTGAGCTGGGGTTTCCAGCCTGCAGAGGAGCAGGAGCATAAAATGAGACAGAGACAGCTGTCAGCGGAACGAGTGTGCTATCCTGAGTTCAAGAAAGTTCCCAATAGCCCTAACCCTGTGGTCGGCAAACTGCTGCTCGAGAGCCACATGCGGCTCTTTGGCCCCTTGAGTGTGGCTCTTCCACAAAACACCACGACCTGGGCGAGTCTGCGTTGAAGAAGTGGCTTTAGAAGAAGTTTATGTGTAAAAAATGTGGCTCTCCAAAGAAATGCCAATCGTTGTACTGTTGATGTTTTGCTCTGTGGACTCATGAGTTTGCTGACCACTGCCCTAGCTGATTTGGCTCAGTGGATAGATCGGCAGCCTGTGGACTGAAGGGTTCCGGGTTCGATTCCCAGTCAAGGGCACATACCTGGGTTGCAGGTTTGACCCCCATCCTTGTTGGGGCTTGTGCCTAAGGCAACCAATCATGTTTCTCTCTTCTCCCCCCCCCCCACTCTCTCTAAAAATCAGTGGAAAAACGTCCTCAGGTGAGGATTAACAAAACAAAACAAACAAAACAAACAAACAAAAAGAAAGTTACTGCCCAAACTGGTTTGGCCTGTGGACTGAAAGGTCCCGGGTTCGATTCTGGTTAAGGGCATGTGCCTTGGTTGCGTGCACATCCCCAGTGGGGGTTGTGCAAGAGGCAGCTGATCATGATTCTCTCTCATCGACGTTTTATTGATTTTTTTACAGAGAGGAAGAGAGAGGGATTGAGAGTTAGAAACATCGATGAGAGAGAATCATTGACCAGGTGCCTCCTGCACACCTCCTACTGGGGATGTGCCCACAACCAAGGTACAAGCCCTTGATCAGAATCGAACCTGGGACCTTTCAGTCCGCAGGCCCACGCTCTATCCGCTGAGCCACACCAGCTTTGGCTGCTCATTGTCTTTTAAACCTGTCCCTCCGAGGCTTCACGTTGATATCTGAAACCTCACTGACCATCTCTGCAATTTCCCTTGCTTTCCAGATTTCTGTATTCAGATGAAGTTCAAATTGGCCCAGAAACAGTGATGACCACTCTTTACACGGCTAAGAAGTACGCAGTGCCGGCCTTGGAGGCACACTGCGTGGAATTTCTCACCAAACATCTGAGAGCAGATAACGCCTTCATGCTGCTTACCCAGGTGAGTCCACGTGACTAAGGCATGTACCATCGCAGCTTGAAAAACTGCGTGTAACTCTACAGCAGAACCTTGTTCCTCAAACTGAATTCATTGCAGAAGGCTGTTAGAGAAGCGATTTGTTTGAAAACGGAATAATTTTTCCCCGTTAGAAGTAATGTAAATTGACTTCATCCGTTCCAGGCTCCCAAATGATGCCCTGTTTCAATCTTTCTTATATGTACTACATGTATAATGTACTGTTTAATCCTATATAATAGCCGAAACCGGTTTGGCTCAGTGAATGGAGCGCCGGCCTGCAGACTGAAGGGTCCCAGGTTCGATTCCGGTCAAGGGCATGTACCTTGGTTGTGGGCACATCCCCGGTGGTGGGTGTGCGGGAGGCAGCTGGTCGATGTTTCTCTCTCATTGATGTTTCCAACTCTCTATCCCTCTCCCTCCCTCTCTGTAAAAAATCAGTAAAATATATTTTAAAAAAAACAACAAAACACCCACAGCAGCCTTGGTAGTTCAGTAAGTACAATAGAAAGTACATTGCATCTATTTTCAGCAGACTCAGAGGTGGGGCCTGAGAGCCCGCGTCGCTAATGGCTTCCAGATTCTGCTACTGTTTCTTTTTTTCTTTTTTTAAATATATTTTATTGATTTTGTACAGAGAGGAAGGGAGAGAGATAGTTAGAAACACCGATGAGAGAGAGTCATCAATCAGCTGCCTCTTGCACACCCCCTACTGGGGATATGCCCGCAACCAAGGTACATGCCCTTGACCGGAATCGAACCCGGGTCCCTTCAGTCCCCAAGCCGACGCTCTATCCACTGAGCCAAACCAGTTTCGGCTCTGTTACTGTTTCTGGCCACACCTTGAGCTTCAAGGGCTGACAGAGATCGCCGCAGGACAGAGGAGGAACTTCTCAGGGCCTCGCTGGTCTGAGAGCCCAGTGTTACCCACGCTTTCCATTGGTGGGGTCACGTGACTTATCCGGCACTCTGTCATGTGAGCTGCTTGCTCCTGCCCAGTGAGTCATTTGAACCGAGCCGGTTCATTTACTGGAAGAGACCCAGCTTCACTCCACACAAAGGGCCAGTGTGCCCTGCCAGCATGGTTTGCACAGGGAAAACACTTCTGATGAACTGATACGATCGCAGTGATGGTTACCAGAGAGCATGCCAGACTCTTAAGTAGCAGCAATGGATTCCATAGGAAACGTGAGATTGCCTGTATAAGCTGAGTGACTGAAGGATTGCTGTTCTAGTTAAAGTAATTTTTACAAAAACTTGTTTTCCCTAGAGTGAAAGCTGAATTAAAAAAAAAAAAAAATTAATTGATTTTTTACGAGAGGAAGGGAGAGGGATTGGGAGCCAGAAATATCAATGAGAGAGAAACATCCATCAGCTGCCTCCTGTACAGCCCCCACTGGGGATGTGTCTGCAACCAAGGTACATGCCCTTGACCGGAATCAAACCTGGGACCCTTCAGTCCGCAGGCCGACGCGCTATTCACTGAGTCAAACTGGTCAGGGCTAAGTAGGCGTTATTATATAATCAGCAATTACAACTGTATATAGTATTAACTTGAATATACACAGCCTGAAGATGAAGAAATAATGGGAACAAAATAATTGTTTTTATATGTTTAGGCTCGACTATTTGATGAACCTCAGCTCGCTAGTCTTTGTCTCGATACGATAGATAAAAGCACGATGGATGCGATAAGTGCAGAAGGGTTTACTGATATTGATATAGGTAAGTTCACATGGAATTAAATTTTCCCTGTAAGTACTTAGTTCGTTACCAGTCAGTCTTGGTGGACAAGCTGTTTTTTGATTAGTGGTTTTTTTCCACATGATCTATGTCTACCCCTTTAAAAATTTTACTTTTTTTATTTTGGTGAGATGTTCCTAAAAGTCTTAACTAATTCATTGCCTTTTAAAAGATGTCAAAGGAAATAAATATTCATTGACTGTTCACATATGCATGGCATTATGTACTAGGTCCTGTAAAAAAAAAAAAAAATACAAAGACAGGTAAGATATACTTTTTCTTTTAAAAAAAAAAATATATATTTTATTGATTTTTTTTTTTTTTTTTTTTTTTTTTTACAGAGAAGAAGAGAGAGGGATAGAGAGTTAGAAATATTGATGAGAGAGAATCATCGATCAGCTGCCTCTTGCACACCCCCTACAGGGGATGTGTCCGCAACCAAGGTCCATGCCCTTGACCGGAATCGAACCTGGGACCCTTCAGTCCGCAGGCTGACGCTCTATCCACTGAGCCACACCGGATTTGGCGATGCACTTTTTCTTAAGAAAACTATCACCTAATTAGAGAATCAAGGGAACAAATTTGTGGAAGTTAAGATTTAAGACATTAACAAAAGAGATGACAAGGAACAAAAAGTGATTTTTTTTTTTTTTTTTTTTTTGCCTTTTCTGAACTAGATATATAGAAAATAATTACAATCCAAATTCAGATCGTGAGGAGGTTACCTCAAACTGGAGTCGAGTTAGGAAGGTCTTGACAGAGGAGGCCCCGGTAATGGCTTTGTCTAAGGAAGAGGGGCGGGCAGGAGAGGCAAGAAGTGTCACATGAAGACGCGTAGAGGAAGGGAAAGGCAGATTATGTTAAACAAATATGTGATTCTACAGTGAACGCGTAAGGTCATTGCAGAGTATAATTTTAAAAAATAGAGTCTAGTTTTAAGTATCACCTATGTTTATTGAGGTTTGAAAATTTCATAAGAAGCAAGTTGGTTTGTATTGTTCTGTTAAAGAGCAAGCTATTTATTTATTTACTTATCTATCTATCTATCTATCTATCTATCTATTTATTTCCTGTAGACACACTGTGCTCAGTTCTGGAAAGAGACACACTTAGTATTTCATAATAAGCAAGTTGGTTTGTATTGTTCTGTTAAAGAGCAAGCTATTTATTTATTTATTTATTTATTTATTTATTTCCTGTAGACACACTGTGCGCAGTTCTGGAAAGAGACACACTTAGTATTCGAGAAAGCCGGCTCTTTGGAGCTATTGTCCGATGGTCAGAAGCAGAATGTCAGCGACAGCAGCTGCCTGTGAGTTTTGAAAACAAACAGAAAGTCCTAGGAAAGGCGCTGTCCCTAATCCGGTTCCCGCTGATGACCATTGAGGAGTTCGCAGCGGGTAAGGCAAAGTCCTGTTTTTAAAAAGATATTTTTATTGATTTCAGAGGGGAAGGTAGAGGGAGAGAGAGAAACATGCATGATGAGAGAGAATCATTGATTGGCTGCCTCCTGCGTGCCCCCCCACTGGGGATGGAGCTTGCAATCCTGGCATGTGCCCCCTTAAGTCCGCAGGCCGATGCTCTATCTACTGAACCGAACCGGCCAGGGCGACCACAGTCTATTAAAAACTGTTTTAATGGTTAGTTGTCAGTCTCCCTATGTGAGGAAAATAAGGTATTAATTACTGAGGACTGGTCACTCTTCTAGTTACATGATACATGTATGTGTGCTTGTGTCTATAATTTTACTAGCGGCCCAGTGCATGGAATTCGTGCACAGATAAGGTCCCTAGGACTGGCTGGCAATCAGGACCGATTTTCGGAGCAACCAGGAGGGCCCTGCAGACTGCTTCCCTGTTCCAATCAGGGCCTGGGGGCTGGGGCAGCTCCTGCATTGAGCGTCTGCCCCCTGGTGGTCAGTGCGCATCATAGCGACTGGTTGGTTGATTTGCATATTAGGCTTTTATTATATAGGGTGTACTGTATTTTTTGGACCATAAGACGCACCAGTTTTTAGAGAAGGGAAATGAAGAAAAAAAGATTCTGAAACAAATAGTGTCCTAAAATATTTTATGTGCATTAAAACCCAACATCACAGTCATAAACACATGTAATCAACCCTGTAAAGTAAACAGCAGCATTTAGAACCATTTTAGAGCTGGGCAAGCACACAGAGACCACACAGAGCCGGGCAAGTAAAAAAACTTTTTTTTTTAAGTATATGTGTAGGCTATATTTGGACCATAAGACGCAGGGACTTTTTCCCCCCACTTCTGGGGGGGAAAAAGTGCGTCTTATGGTCCGAAAAATATGGTAATTCTAATAGCCCTTTAAGATAATATTCTTAATTTTCATAAATTTCCATTTCATAATAAAACAGTATTTATTCACCTTCCCTATTTTAAGACAAGAATGTTAGGATGGTGTGTCTTCCTTCAGCCTTTCCAGACCACTTTATGGTACCTGATTTTCTCCCCCTTCTCACTTCCTCCCCCTCTCCAGACTAAAATAATACAATTACACATAATTCTAGGTTGTTTTGCTTTTAGTGCTCATCACCAGTTCTTTTAGGAGAGAATTTCTTAAGTTGCTTGTTTTGACTAATCTTGTGTTAACTGGCCTGTCTCTCTGACAACTTTTCTTAGGTATATAGGTAACTGCTACATGTCTGAGAATGCTTTTCATGACCTGAAGACTTTTTCTCAACAAAGCAAATTTTATTATAGTCTTGAATTATGAAATCTTATTGTTAGTTCCTTGGCAACATTAGTAGTGTTTAAAAATCAGGGTTTTTCATTAAAGTCTGAATTTATGGCTTCCTAAACCAAATTTCTAGTTTGTCACATTGGTTTTTGTAGTTTAAAAATTTATAATTTAGTTTTATAGTCTCTTATTTAGTTTTTTTGTTTTGTTTAATATATTTTATTGATTTTTTACAGAGAGGAAGGGAGAGAGATAGAGAACTAGAAACATCGATGAGAGAGACACATCGACCAGCTGCCTCTTGCACACCCCCTACTGGGGATGTGCCCAACACCAAGGTACCTGCCCTTGACTGGAATCGAACCTGGGACCTTTCAGTCCGCAGACCGATGCTCTACTACTGAGCCACACCGGTTTCGGCTTATTTAGGTTGTTTTAAAGCAGCCTGGGGAGCGGCCTTTATTTACTCTTGGATAAGCTGTTTGGAACTTTCTGTCCTCAGAAACATTGTATGGGGAGACTAAGACATATGATATGCTGCTTCCCCAGCCCTTCCCATTTTAGCTCCTGCCCTCTTGATTTCTGAACCCCACAATGAAAGCACTATCGTGTTTCCACTTCTAAATATATTCCATTGTTCAGATTATGACCTCAGACAGGTGTTAGGTGGGGAACGGAGAAGGGACATTGGCGCTGGCTACTCTTGTGAGCGTGTCTATCCCTCCCCCCCCCCATCCTCTCCTGCCATAGAGAATGGCTCTTTCTGGTAAACGAAAGTCTGGGGTACTCAGAGGAAGGAAGGGGATAGAAAAACCCAGGCTTTCATCGAAGCTCTGATTTATTAACGATTTTTAAAATATTTTATTGAGAGAGATAGAAACTTCAATGATGAGAAATAGAGATAGAGAGATAGAGAGCTAGAAACATCGATGAGAGAGAAACGTCGACCAGCTGCCTCCTGCACACCCCCTGCTGGGGATGCGCTCTCAACCAAGGTACATGCCCTTGACTGGAATCGAACCCGAGACCTTTCTAACCACTGAGCCACATCAAGCCACAGACCGACGCTCTAACCACTTAGCCACACCGGTTTCGGCTATTCAAGATGTTAACTTGTCCGTTTCAGTAGGTCAGCCTCAAATGGATTTACGTTTGTATTTGTGCAGGGCCTGCTCAGTCTGGGATTCTGTCAGATCGTGAAGTGGTGAATCTCTTTCTCCACTTTACCGTCAATCCTAAGCCCCGAGTGGACTACATCGACCGGCCGCGGTGCTGCCTCCGCGGGAAGGAATGCTGCATCAACCGGTTCCAGCAGGTGGAGAGCCGCTGGGGCTACAGTGGGACCAGCGATCGAATCAGGTATCTGTCATACTGGTCCCCACGCCACGGGGGGCTGGGCTGGGCTGGGCGGCTCTATCCCCATTATCAACCAGCATCTCGTTCTATACGTAAGCATCACTCAGGCACGTGGCTGATGGGATGTGTGCATAGTCTCCATCTGTGTCTGATGGCCGTGTCTGTCTGTGTTTTGCATTCAGATCCTGCTATCCACACAAACATCACGCAGCCAAAGATTAAGTTGGGATCATAGTACTGGTCTAGTGTTGTCTCGTTGGACATAATTTACCACTGGCCAGCCTCCAAATTCCCATACAGAACTTTGTGAATAGAGAGAGTGTATAGCTGTTGGAAATTTAAGATATCTATAATAACTCACTGCATTTTTTTTTAAAAGTAAAATAAAATTAAAAAAAAAAGAATCACACAGGCTTGATTCTATGGGTGAGCTGAGGTCGAGACATTAATTGGTCAGACACTGTGGATTAGGGCTGCAATTTATTTAATATTTAATCTTACTCTGTTTAGTGTGAGTTTTTTTTCTTTGCACAGACATTGCATGGGAAATATCTCAGTATAGAAAAAAAAAAAAATATATATATATATATATATCTCCAGGAAATATCTCCGTATACATTTATAAAAGCTTTGAAAGGGGAAAATAATCTTATAAGGTTCAGGTGTATAATCCTGTTAGGAAAGTTATCTTTGTTTTGTTGCATTTCTTTAGGTTAAATGTCAAAATTGACATAAGTACCAGTTTTCCTAAAACATGCCTGTGGATTTTCACTTACTGAAGAGCAGTTTTATATAAAACTAGGAATTCATAACAGGTTTGTCGAATATGGGACTCCCAGGGAGAGAGGACCCTTGTAAATAATTGGAATAAGATGGAAATTAAAAACATTTGTGGATTATTTAGCAATCATTCACAATGAGAATACTATATCTGAAACTCATAATAAAGGCCAAAGTAGACAAAATATTACAAAAAGAAACAGTCATAAAAATTACTTTTACTAAATAAATTATAGTAGAAATCATTTAAGCATTCAACTCAAGTAGCTAGAAAATGAATAGAAAAAAAAGCAAAAGAGAGAAAGGAGATAGGTAAATATAGAAATTAATGAATTAAAAGTAATAGGATTGAGAAAACCATAAACTGGCTCCTTAAAAAGGCCAATAAGATAAATAAACCTCTGGCAAAGGCAGTGAAGAAAACAAGCTTGCATTTAGAAATAATGGGAATATAATCAGATACTGCGAAGATTTTTACTTTAATTCTGGGTTTACTCTGTGCTAATACATTGAACGTCTTGATGGAATGGATCATTATTTATAGGCAAATATAATTTATCAAATTGACTGGAGAAGAAAGCCCATTACAACGGAAGGAATTAAAAGTTATCAAAGAACTGTCCCTTCACAAGGTGGTTTTTACAGGTGAGTTTTATCCAAACTTCAAGGAACAAATCAATGTTTCCTTGAGCATTCAAAGAAGAAAATGCTTATTTGGTTAATTATTGAAAGAACTATACCCCTCACAGAAAAATCTGACAAGACAAAAAATTTGTAGATCAGTCTCACTTACATAGAAGAAGAAATTCTATGTGAAATATTAATACCTTGGAAAAATAATACTGTATGAGCAAATATAGTTTATTCGTAGATTGAAAGAATGGCTCAAATTAGGGAATATATTAATATAACTCGCCACATAGCACATCAAAGAAGAAAAACAATTTGATGATTTCAGTAGTTGTCAAAAAGACTTTTGATAAAATTGCACCTTCGTTCCACATAGAATCATTAATACTAAAGAATACTGCTTTAAGATGATAGACTATTTAAAAAATATATATTTTATTGATTTTTTACAGAGAGGAAGAGAGAGGGATAGAGAGTTAGAAACATTGATGAGAGAGATCATCGATCAGCTGCCTCCTGCACACCCCCTACTGGGAATGTGCCCGCAACCAGGTACATGCCCTTGACCAGAATCGAACCCGGGACCCTTCAGTCACCAGGCTGACGCTCTATCCCTGACCCAAACCAGTTTTGGCAAGGTGATAGACTATTAAAACCTCAAGAAAGGGATGCTCGCTAACCTTGCTGTTTTCAGCAGTGTTCAAGTCTCGTAGTTATAAACCTGTGCTTCACCACATGAATTCTGACAGGACGCTTGAGCGCTGATTGGGTCGCTGTTTTGGGAAGACTCCTATGACTGAAGTAAGTCCGGTGTCCCTGCCCCGCCATCAGTGCCTTTTATAAAAACCAAGGCCGCCTTGTGGTTTTGGAGAACAACCTGTCCACCTGAACAGCCTCGGCATCGATAAAAATAAATGTGTTAGAACCAATAAAAGAATAGTGCCACTTACGATGTGTGCACGCAGAGACCAATGATGCTCCTATATGTCATCCCAATTCGGTTATGGGTGTTTGATTTGATTGACAACAATGTGAATGTACTTAATGACACTGAGTCCTACAACTACCAGTAAAATGGTTAAGGTGGTATATTTTGTTATATATTTTGCCACAATAAAAAAATTTTAAGATGTTTACATTTTCAGTTACAATATTAAGTAAAAATAGATTCCACTTGAAATAGTAACAAATGCCCGGCTGGTGTGGCTCAGTGGTTGAGTGTTGACCTACGGTCCAGGAGGTCATGGTTTGATTCCTGGTTCAGAGCACATACTTGGGTTACAGGCTCATCCCAATAGGGTTTGTACAAAAGGCAGCCAATCTATAAGTCTCTATCATCACTGATATTTCTGTCTCTCTCTCCCCTCCCCTTCCTCTCTGAAATCAATAAAAATATATTTTAAAAAATAGTAATATATAACAAAGTAATGGGATTAAATCCTATAAGAAATGAACAGTGTAGCACCTTTATAAAGAAATGGAGAGCTTTGACTGGACTCAGTGTCTTTCCAAACTAACTAGTGTAATCAGAAGTCACATGTTTTTTATCGGGGAAGACCTGGCAAAATTATCCTAAAGGTTATCCAGAAGAGTAAATGGTTGTCTGGAAGATAAATGGTTCTTTTTAAAAACGAGTGGTATGGGTCAAACATAAAACTATAATTCGTTAGTGTTATATGGAAGGTGTTACAGAGTTTAGAAACTACCCCAACATAAATGAGCATCTGAGGGAAAGATTAACAACTGGGGAAATAAAGTTAGATCCTTACTGATTCCATCGACCAATAATTGTATAAATTAAAATTTTAATATTATAAATACAAAGCCATGAAAATGCTGGAACAGGGACAGAGGGAGGGATAGGCCTCTTTAAACTTGGCATAAATCATAATTTGGCTACAAGGAATGAAAATTTTTTATGTCCAAAACCAACATATAGTCAAAAGATAAATGACAAATGGGAACCTTTTTGTCATGGATATTACTGACAAAACATAAGTAACTATATCACATAGTCTTTCAGGGAAAAATGGGGAAAGAACATGAGTGAGTAGTTCATTAAAGAAAATCTAGTAGACAGTAAGCTTATGAGCAAATATATCAACTCATTAATAAAGCAAGATGAATAGAATGTGTTAATCAATTTCTCAGCGTCAAAAAGAAATGGAAATGGTCATGGTTGTTAGGAGTGAGGTAGAAATGATTGTAATTTCTTGTGTATGTAGAGTGTCGTAATCAATTTGATAATGTCCAGCTAACGCCTTAAGAATATGCCTTTTATTCCTTTCCGGCCGGAACTGCCATCTTCCAGGTCGGCCCTGCGCGTGGCTCCCAGTGGCCGTGGTTCCACAGACTAATTTGCCAAAATGCTAACACAAAGGGAGAGAGGAGAGGCACCCGCTATATGCTCTCTAGGCCTTTTAGAAAACACGGAATTGTTCCTCTGGCCACATACATGCGAACCTACGAGAAAGGTGATATTGTGGACATGAAGGGAATGGGCGCTGTTCACAAAGGAACGCCCCCCAATGTTACCATGGCAACACTGGAAGAGTCTACGATTTCACCCAGCATGCAGTGGGTATTGCGGTGAACAAGCAAGCTAAGGGCAAAATTCTTGCCTAGAGAATGAATGTACGTAGTGAGCATATTAAGCCTCTGCGAGCCGAGATAGCTTCCTGAAACGTGTGAAGGAACAATGATCGGAAGAAGAAGGAAGCCAGAGAGAAAGGTACCTGGGTTTAATTGAAGCGCCAGCCTGCTCCACCCAGAGAGGCATCCTCTGTGAGAACCAATGGAAAGGAGCCTGAGCTGCTGGAGCCCATTCCCTATGAATTCATGGCATAAGTGGGGGAAAATAAAGACTTCTGTGCTAATAATGTTTATTTTAATTGAGTGGAAGTGTGGGCCCCCCCCCCCAAAGAATAATTAAAAAAAAAGTTTGTGCCGAAACCAGTTTGACTCAGTGGTAGAGCGTTGGTCTGCGGACTGAAGGGTCCCAGGTTCAATTCCGGTCAAGGGCATGTACCTTGGTTGCGGGCACATCCCCGGTGGGAGGTGTGCAGGAGGCAGCTGGTCGATGTTTCTCTCTCATCAATATTTCTGGCTCTCTATCTCTCTCTCTTCCTCTCTGTAAAAAAATCAATGAAATATATTAAAAAAAAAAAAAAAAGTTTGTGTCACCCTAACTGGTTTGGCTCAGTGGATAGTCCTTCGTCAGCTGCGAACCTAAGGGTTCCAGTTTCAATTCCAGTCAAGAGCACATACCCAGGTTGTGGGCTCCATCCACAGTAGAGGGGTGTGCAGGAGGCAGCCAATCAATAAAAAGAAAACTTTGTGTCCTAAAGAAAAAAAAGAAAAGAAAAAAAAGGTAATGCCTTTCATTTCCCCCAGGGTTTCTATTTCCAGGAATTTATTCTCAGGCATAATTAAGACTATAAAATGATCTTCATGGCATCCTATATAATAAAAGGCTAATATGCAAATTGTCCCCTTGACCTTCAGGAATTTGACCTGGGGGCGGGGCTGGCCCATCAACCACCTGCGTCCCCTCCCCCGGCTGGCCCTGCCCGATTGGCCCCATCAGGGCAAGTTTGCCATGCACAAATTCATGCACCGGGCCTCTAATTGTTACATAATAACATACCCTGCTAGATTATCTAACAAGCGAGGGTTATTAAATAGAATGAATTGGTTCTAACTTTTACCTTTATATGAAAAAGAAGATATAAAAATATGTGTATTGTGACACGATTGTAAAAATTATAATACCTATAATAATAAAAGCATAATATGCTAATTAGACCAGGCATCCTTCCAGACAACCTGCTGGATGAATCTGGGGCTGCGAGGAAGTCCGAGTCCCTGGTGCCGGCCAGTCCTGGATGCCGGCCGGTGGCCGGAGGGAAGCCCGGGTCCCGGGAGCCAGAGGGAAGCCGGTGCTGGCACCCGGCGGAGGGTAGGCCTACTCTTGCACACATTTTGTGCACCGGGCCTCGAGTATTATACATACATATTCATAGAAAAGAATCTTTTCTATTTAGCAAGAGAGTGAAAGGGAATGTGCCAGAGGATAAATGGGGGGTTCTCTCTGGTGGATTCAGGGATCTTAAATATTTTTCCTCTTGTTTAACTGCATTTTCTATTTTTTGAAAAAGAGACTATATTGCTTTGATTTTTTTTTTTTTTTTTTTTTTTTTTTATAAGAAGGCAATGTAGAGATAAGACATTAAAAGTTGGTCCAGGGAAGATCCAAGATGGCTGCGCCCAGGTGAACACCTAGCCGCAGCCGCACACAACAATTTCAATAAAATACAACTAAAATATAAAAAGGACATTGCCCAGAACTACAGGAAGGTTGACTGACTGGAAATTCTACAGCGAGAAGCAAGGAGAAAACCAGAAGGAGGTGCGGAGGAGCTGGAAAAGCCAAGGTACGGAGACGCGGAGACGCGGCGCGCAGAGAGGACAGAGCCGGAGAGGAGGGAGGCCGAGTGCCTGGCGGGCGTTCCCTAGCGGAAAGGAGATAAAACTCCGACTGTGCTGGGCCCCCGACTGCTCTGATCCCCAGTTTTAAGCCAGACCCCGGGGACTCAGGCTCATCCATAGGGAGCCGGGCTGTAAGGCAGAACCCCGGGGAAGTGGCGAAAGGAGGTCCCAGCGGTGTGCACACTGCGCACAGAGAAAGGACGGTCGGCTGTGCCGCGGGATTGCCCTGACGGGAAGGAGACTGGGGCTCCAGACTGCTCTGAACGCCACCTCCAACTCCACTTCCAACTGAACTGAACCCCAGTTCCGGGCTCATTGTGGGAGAGCATAGACTGTTTGGCAGCAGGCGAAAATCGAGGGCACCTTTCTCTCAGAGGCGCCGGCAGCGAGCACTGAAGGACCCGCATAGGGCGGGGCTGACAGAAGCCAAAGCTGCAGGCTCCACCCTGAAACCCCGTCCCATCTGTAACTGCGAAATGAGACAACAAAAGAGATCACAAATGAAAGAAATGGAGGACAAAAAGCGTCTGGATATAGAGTTCAAATCTACGCTTACAAGGTTTTTCAAGAATTTCCTAGAAAAGATGGATAAGGCCTATGAGGATATGAAAAGAGATCAACTAGAATTAATAAGGAGTCAACAAGAAATAAAGAATACATTGTCTGAAATAAAAAATATTTTACAGAGTCCTAAAAACAGAAGGGAAGATCGCAAGATTCAAGTCAAAGATTTGGAACATAAAGAGCCAGAAGACACTCCTCCACAGAAGCTAGAAGGCAAGAGAATCCAGAAAATTGAAGATAATGTAAGAAACCTCTGGGACAACTTCAAGCGAACCAACATCAGAATTATGGGGGTCCCAGAAGATGAGAGAGAGCAAGATATCGAAAACATACTGAAAGAAATAGTGATAGAAAACTTCCCCCATCTGGTGAAAGAATTAGACTTACAAGTCCAGGAAGTGCACAGAACTCCAAACAAAAGGAATCCAAAGAGGACCACACCGAGACACATCATTATTAAAATTCCAAGAGCAAAAGACAAAGAGAGAATATTAAAAGAAGCAAGAGCAAAGAAGGTAGTAACCTATAAAGGAGCACCTATACGATTGTCAGCTGACTTCTCAACAGAAACCATGCAGGCCAGAAGGGAATGGCAAGAAATATTCAAGGTGATGAATAGTGAGAACCTACAGCCAAAAATAATCTACCCAGCAAAGCTATCACTCAGAATCGAAGGCCAGATAAAGAGCTTCACTAATAAAAAAAAGCTAATGGAGTTCATCACCGCCAAACCAGAATTATATGAATTGCTGAAGGGGGTTCTTTCAGAAGAGAAGGTAAACAAAGATAAAAATTATGAACAACAAATACGTAACTATCAACAAGTGAATCTAAAAACCAAGGAAATTAAAAAAAAATCTGATGAACAATATTAACTGTTGAATATAATAGAATCAGAGGTATGGAAGGGGAGTGAACTGACGATTCTTGGGGAAAAGGGGAGAGGGGGGCGTGGGAAGAGACTGAACATAAACTGTGCACCTATGGATGAGGACAATGGGGAGAGGGGAAAGGGCAGAGGGTGGGGTGGGAACCTGGTGGAGGAGAGCAATGGTGGGGGGGAAAAAAAGGAACATTTGTAATAATATGAACAATAAAAACTTATTAAAAAAAAAAAATAAATAAATAAATAAATAAATAAATATACAACAAGCATAAAAAAAAAAAAAAAAAAAAAAAAAAAAAAGTTGGTCCAGGTAGATGAGGATCTGTCCTGGAAGTATAACATAGCAGTAAGAAGGGGGCGTTAGTGGACACCTGGATCTGACCCAGGCAAGGTGGTTTCTCTAAACGTCTGTTTCTTCAACTAGAAAAACAGCGGGTAATAAAGTAATACTGTGTTACTTCGTTTATAGAGCTGTTATGATGATTAAAGGAAGTAATTCATGTAAAGGACTGAAGCTCAGCCATAACCGGTTTGGTTCAGTGGATAGTGCGTCAGCCCACAGACTGAAAGGTCCCAGGTTTGATTCCGGTCAAGGGCATGTACCTTGGTTGCAGGCACATCCCCAGTGGGGAGTGTGCAGGAGGCGGCTGATGGATGTTTCTCTCTCATTGATGTTTCTGGCTTTCTGTCCTTTTCCCTTCCTCTCTGTAAAAAAAAATCAATAAAATTTTTTTATTAAAACAAATGAATATCTTTAAAAAAATGTATGAACCTTTAGAACAGGGGCAATGGAGGGGGAACTTTTTTCTGCAAGGCCATTTGGATATTTATAACATCATTCGTAGACCATATAAAATCATCAACTTACAAGTTAGCCCACTCTACTTGGTCAAACATTTAATTAACGCCCCCTGTTGCCTTGGCAGGGCCGGACCCAATGATTTCTCGGGCCTTGTGTGGCCCCCAGGCCAGACGTTCCCCACCCCTGCTTTAGGACATGGATTTGTACTGAGTCATGTATGTTATTTTATATCTGGTTCATTCTCTCAGGTTCACAGTTAACAGAAGAATCTCGATAGTTGGATTCGGTTTATATGGATCTATTCATGGCCCCACGGATTATCAAGTGAACATACAGGTATACTTCACCCTCCCACTATCTGTCATCTTGAAGTAAACTGTCTATCTTACCGTAAGATATTGTTTTGACAAAATCCAAATTTCAGTATAATTACCAAAGGAATCAGAAAGCCTCTGAGTGGCATTTTAAGCCCAGAGAGTCCTGTTTTACAATTGATCTAAAAAATCTGGTTTCAGAAAAGGGGATTCCTGCCGAAACCGGTTTGGCTCAGTGGATAGAGCGTCAGCCTGCGGACTGAAAGGTCCCAGGTTCGTTTCCGGTCAAGGGCATGTGCCTTGGTTGCGGGCACATCCCCAGTAAGGGGGGTGCAGGAGGCAGCTGACCGGTGTTTCTCTCTCATCGATGTTTCTAACTATCCCTTTCTCTCTGTAAAAGATCAATAAAATATTAAATAAATAAATAAAATCCTTACATTAAAAAAAGCACTGCTGCTAAGCCATATGTCTTCAACAGAAGCTCCTTTCTCCTGCAGCCACGCCCGTTATCTGACATCTCTCATCCTGGCCCCATGGGCGACAGCCGTTTTTCTGACAGCATGTCTAACGCCATCTTTTTGGCGGTTAGAGATGAGGATAGCAAAGTGACCGCACAGAGCTGTAGAGGGCTAGTCTGCCGTCCCCAAGGGCTTTATAAAATTCTTCCCTAAGAGACTTTGTCATAGTTGGTTTAGCTTCAATGGAATTCTCTTTCTGAAATTACAGATCATTGAATACGAAAAGAAACAAACCCTGGGACAGAACGATACCGGCTTCAGCTGTGACGGGAGCGCGAGCACGTTCAGGGTCATGTTCAAGGACCCCATCGAGATCCTGCCCAACGTGTGCTACACCGCATGCGCCACCCTCAAGGTCAGTCGCGGGAGGGTCCCAGACGGGGATGCGGGGCTCAGGGTTCCTCCTGTGTGTCGGAGCTGGTGACAGGAAAGCCTCTCAGGACGGGGGAGGGAGAGCCTCTGGGAAATGAGGTGCCTCTCAGCACAGCTCTGCTCTGACAGCAACGGTTCTTCGTCAGACGTAGCTCTTTGGGCAGGAGAAAAGGTGTTTGACAGAAATAAAGTGAAACAGCTATTTAAAGACATTTTATTTTACTTTATTGATTTTTAAAAAATATATTTTATTGATTTTTTACAGAGAGGAAGGGAGAGGGATAAAGAGCTAGAAACATCGACGAGAAAGAAATATCTATCAGCCGCCTCCTGCACGCCCCGCACTGGGGATGTGCCCGCAGCCCCCAAGGTCCATGCCCTTGACCGGAATTGGAACTGGGACCATTCAGTCCGCAGGCCGATGCTCTGTCCACTGAGCAAAACCGGATAGAGCACTTTATTGATTTTTTAGATAGAAGAAGGGAGACAGAGACATTGATTTGTTGTTCCACTTATTTTTTAAAATATATTTTATTGATTTTTTACAGAAGAAGGGAGAGGGAGAGAAAGTTAGAAGCATCTATGAGAAACATTGATCACTTGCCTCCTATACATTTCCACCTGGGGATGTGCCCGCAACCAAGGTACATGCCCTTGACTGGAATCGAACCTGGGACCCTTGAGTCTGCAGGCCGATGCTCTATCCACTGAGCCACACCAGGTAGGGCTCTCCCACTTATTCATGCATTCATTGGTTGCTTCTTGTATGTGCCTTGACTGGAGATAGAGCCTGCAACCTTGATGTATCAGTATGACACTGTGCTGGCCAGGGCATAACTATTCTCTTTCCTTTTTTTAATCCTCACCTGAGGATATTTTTCTATTGACTTTTAGAGAGAGTGGAAGAGAGAGGGGAAGATGGAGAGAAACACATGGATTGGTTGCCTCCTGCACGACCCCCAACCAGGGCCTGGGGTGGGGAGGGGCCTGCAACCGAGGTACATGCCCTTGACCGAAATCGAACTTGGGACCCTGATGCTCCATCCACTGAGCCAAACTGGCTAGGGCCGGAACTATTTTCTTTTCTTTTCTTTTTTTTTAATTTTATTTATTTTTACATGTTTTATTGATTTTTTTTTTGCGGGGTGGCCCCCTCCCTCCCTCCCACACATCCCCTCTTTCCCCAGAGTTTTACGGAACTATTTTCTTAAAACCACTTCACTATTCTCTAATAGCTGAGCTCTCTATTCAGTCATTTTGATCATTAATTAGCTTTGTAGCAACAATACCATTTTCATTAAATGGCTTGGCATAAAATTTTATACAGGAGGTATAAAGTAACATAGTAAGTACGTCATCAATCGAATTAAAACACTATCTTAAATTAAGTGTTTATTTTAATTTTTTTATTGTTATTTTTTTAAATTGGTTTTTGTCATTTTAAAAAAAATATAGATTTTATTGATTTTTTTACAGAGAGGAAAGGAGAGAGAGAGAGAGAGCTAGAAACATCGACCAGCTGCCTCTTGCACACCCCCTACCGGGGATTTGCCTGCAACCAATGTACATGCCCTTGACCGGAATCGAACCTGGGACCTTTCAGTCCGCAGGCTGATGCTCTATCCACTGAGCCAAACTGGCTTCGGCTTAAATTGAGTGTTTATTTTATTTATTTATTTATTTATTTATTTATTTAAATATATTTTATTGATTTTGTACAGAGAGGAAGGGAGAGAGATAGAAAGTTAGAAACATCGATGAGAGAGAGTCATCGATCAGCTGCCTCCTGCACACCTCCTACTGGGGATATGCCCGCAACCAAGGTACATGCCCTTGACTGGAATCGAACCCGGGACCCTACAGTCCCCAAGCCGACGCTCTATCCATTGAGCCAAACCGGTCTTGGCTAAATTGAGTGTTTATTAAAGGGAAATGACTAATGGACCTTTTGTTCTCATTTAGGGTTCAGATTCCCACTATGGCACGAAAGGACTGAAGAAAGTCGTGCATGAAACATCTGCCAGCAAGACTGTTTTCTTCTTTTTCAGCTCACCTGGCAATAATAATGGCACTTCAATAGAAGACGGACAAATACCGGAAATAATATTTTACACCTAATTTAACATTCTAAAACATCCTGGCTAAATTGTACTACCCAGTCTAAATCAGCGGCATAAAAAAGACTGGCCACACAAAACATTTGAGTGTTATGAATATTTATGATTTTAAGATGAGAAAGTTTCTAAGTGGAGATAGAGAAATGTTTATTTAAATCTCTGCATCATTGAAAGGCAGATTTTCCATTTTCTTATAACCTTAGAGGAAAAGAAAACTAGATTTGTTTAAAACACACACAGCTATTTCAGCTTTATCTTGTATCATTTCATAAATCCAACTGACTCGCGATCTTTCAAGAGTTTCATAATTGAAAGATTTTTGTGATATAGCTGATTTGTTTTGTTTGAATTATTTTTTAAGGTTCTATGAGATGACATGGGTCAGGTTTCCTGTAGAATTCGTATTCCTCTCATTTCAGACAGTACGAAAACCGACCTTCTATTTGGAGTTTTGAAATACCTGTTTGTTAAACATTTGGAATATTGCTAGAAATAGGCCTTCCGAATGCCCAAGAAAATTTTTCAATGCTTTTACAGAAAACGATATTTTGTAATAGTATAGTAACGTGCTACACAGTACAGTTTTCAACTACAAATGGAGTTTGTACAAATTCACAGTAACGGGATAAAATCAAGAATCTAAAGCAAGGTCTAAGATTGGATTCTTTACCACTGAACCAAACCATTACACCTGTCTGTCTGTATGGAGAATTCATTGAGATGGTGATGGTGGTGGTGAGTAGATAAACACACTTAAGGTCAACACTTAAGGTGACAAGCTTACACAGCACTTAAGCTGACAAGCTTACACAGCATGAAACAGAATGAAATACTAACATTTCTAACAACTACTTTGAAGTTTTAAAGATCTCCAGCATGTCACTCCTGCTGAAGTGACACCATACAACGTCACCTACACACTTGTATCTAAGACGCCAAACATGTTTAATATTCATGATCTCACAAATGTCATAGGAACAGCCGTAGTAGGAAGGATAAGACGTCTATGTGGCAGAATGATATTTATACACTTTTTTATAAAAGAGAATTTTTATATGAATGCCATTCTTTTTTTCTTCTGAAAGCAATTATCTTATAAAAACATGTATCATTAAGTGTGAGTTGTGGAAGGTGTTAAAAATCACAAGTCAAAAAGTATCAGCTTACATAGGATTAATTTTTTTCACAGCATAGTAATGAGTGTAACATTTCTTTCGCTGTATTTCACGGTGTATTTATAAGAAGGTCGTGAGATAGCATGTGGCAGAGGTCACTTGACTTTGCTGATAAAAAGGGAACTTTTTCTCTCCCTCGTTTCATGACCTTAATGGTTTTAAACCTGAATTAACTGGAGGAGCTGTGGGATGAGTGGTTCTGGTTAACCAGCAAACACTGCACCAGCCACTGTGGAAAACACTTCTGCCTTAAACAGGATGGTGTACTGGCGATAAGCTCATGTTTTTCAATGTTTGAGGCATTTCAAATGCCTCCCGTATGTTGCACTGAACAGTGATTGTGACTGAAGGTAGCTATAGCGGAGGCGCAAGAAATGGGACTGTTTACTGATAGGGGGCATCCCTGGAATTTTTAAAAAATAAATATTATCCATTTATTTTTTTTTGGTTACGTGTGTCTTTTTCTTCTAAAAGTTCAGTATAGCCCTGACCGGTGTGGCTCAGTGGATAGAGCGTCGGCCTGCAGACTGAGGGGTCCCAGGTTCGATTCCAGTCAAGGGCACTTACTTTGGTTGTGGGCACATCCCCAGTCCGGAGTGTGTAGGAGGCAGCTAATCCATGTTCTTTATAGGACTCCTCTACCTTCTGTCTTTATCATCCAGACAACTGGCAGGTACCATTTATAATTCACCGTAGCAAGTGCTCCTTTTATTTCCATCACAACTGTCAAAGCTCTAATTGAGACTGTCATGACCTAACTAATTTTATTTAATACAGATTCAGCTTTTGTGCCCCATTTCCCCTTTTTTTTTTTTTTAAAGTTGTTAGGATGGGCCTTTATTTTCATGTTTTTGTATAATATAATGAATATTAAATTTAATTGGTTTCTTTGTTACTATTGTTTTTTAAATCCTTACCTGAGGATATTTTTCCATGTATTGTTTTAGAGATAGTGGAAGGGAGAGGGAGAAAGAGAGAGAAACACTGATGTGAGAGAGACACATCAGTTGGTTGCCTTCTGCAACTTCCCACAGGGGATGTGCCCGCAACCAAGGTACATGCCCTTGACCAGAATTGAACCTGGGACCCTTGAGTCCTCAGGCTGATGCTCTATCCACTGAGCCACACCGGTCTCGGCATCTCGCTGTGTTCTATTAAACCTCTTCATTTTCTACCCAATTAGGCTCCACCTTTGGTTCTTCATTTTTCCTTCTCCACTTTTGACCTTTGATCACTAACTACATCAATAACTCGGAACCCCCTCACACCCACCTGGGTGAATTCAATTGTCCGCCTTATCTTTAACTTCCTGGCTGCTGGGTCCAAAGTCTTCAAAATGATAGTGTACAGATTGGTGCCCTGATGATTTTATGATCTCCCAAGTTCAACTCCATCATTGGTGCAGCCAGGGGAGGGTTTCAGCAGTCAGCTCTTTGCCATCCTCCTGAGTTTCAATCTGTTTTACCCTCCTAACACCTCTCCTCCTGTAGCTGATGCAGGAAGCTCCAGCTCCTCCCACCAAACCTATAAGCACCCGTACCTGTGCACCGAGGCTGTCCATTCATGAAGAAAAAGTGTCTTGCCAAAACCAGTGTGGCTCCGTGGATAGAGAGCGTTGGCCTGTGGACTCAAGGGTCCCAGGTTCGATTCTGGTCAAGGGCATGTATCTTGGTTGCGGGCACATCCCCAGTAGGGCGTGTGCAGGAGGCAGCTGATGGATGTTTCTCTCATCGATGTTTCTAACTCTCCCTCTCCCTCTTTAAAAAATCAATAAAAAATAAATATAAAAAGAAAAGGTGTCTTGACTAAGGCATCCTATAGGAGAGTCATTCTCTCCTCTTGTTCTCAGAACCCCACCCTCTGCCTCTGTTTTACACCCCTCCCACTTCTTGGCTTCATTCCTATCAACATTGATAGGCTATCTCTATCATGTTAACTACCAGCCAGTTATTTTGTGTGTGTGGTTTTTTTTCCTTCAAAAAGTCAATGTCATGTGCCCTCCAGATCCCAGTTAACTCCTTCACAGTGAAGTCAAATTACTCCCTGCCCCACCAGTGTGGCTCAGTGGTTGAGCCTCGACCCTGAACCAGGTCAGTCAGGGCACATGCCCGTGTTGAGGGCCCCATTCCCACTAGGGGGCGTGCTAGAGGCAGCCAGTTGATTCTCACCGTGATGAGTATCCCTTCCTCGCTCTGAAATCAATAAAAACATATTAAAAATTTTTTTAAAGTATTCCCTACACCTGTTAGTCTCTGCTCCTTACACTGCAGGAGCCTGAGCGCCTGGCACAAGGTGGGTGCTTCCTGCGCCCCATCCCAGGAGTCTTGCTCCCGCCGACCGATAGGTGTCGCTATCGCGCCGGAGCGGAGGCGAAGCTCTGGGGCCGCTGCGGCCCGCGGTGTGCGCAGGCGCAGAGGGCGTTTCCGGCGTCGCTGCCAGCCCCGCGGTGTGCGCAGGCGCAGAGGGCGTTTCCGGCGCCGCCGCCCGCCCCGCTGCCTCAGCGGGAGGATGCTCCGGTTCCGCCGCGTGCTCAGGCCACTCGGGGCGGGACCTGGCGCTCGGGCCTCCGCCCCGCTCCACGCGGGCGCCGCGATGCCGAAGAAAGCCGGTGCGACGAGCAAGGCCAGTAGCAAGGCCCGCGGCCGCGGAGGGGTGGGCGGGCGCGGGGGAGGAGCGGGCCGCGCGGGTGGGGGCTCCGGCCGCCCTGCCCGCCGCCACCAGGGGGCTCCCTGGGCCGCGTCTGCTGGGCCGCGGGCGGGTGTGTCGGGGGGCGCCCCCCAGGAGGCTTTCTTCTGCGCCCTCCCTCCTCACCCCTTCTGTCCGGGGAGTCCCCTCTGCAGGGCGGACTCCGAGGCCCCGCGGCCAGGTACCGGGGGTCCCCCGGCCGGACAGCCCTCCTCCTCCCCCGGGAGTGACGCTCTGCGCGCGGTCCCTCCCTGCACCCCGAGCTCCCAGGGAGAGGGATAGAGAGTCAGAAACATCGATGAGAGAGAAACATCGACCAGCTGCCTCCTGCACAATCCCCACCAGGGATGTGCCTGCAACCAAGGTCCATGCCCTTGACCGGAATCGAACCAGGGACCTTCAGTCCGCAGGCCCCGACGCTCTATCCACTAAGCCACACCGGTTTCGGCGGCAAACTCTTTGTAACCTGTAAAGTTGTAGTGTGGTTGTTGTTGTCGTTTTAGGACAAAAGCCAGAGCAAGGAGCCAGAGAAACCACTTCCTCCCCTGGGCCCCGTGGCAGTGGATGCCAAAGGCTGTGTCACCATAGCCATCCATGCCAAACCGGGCTCTAAGCAAAATGCCGTGACAGGTACCTCCGGACCCTGGGGCGGGCGCCCTGGGGGAATCAGGGGTCCCCTCCCTCTTCCCTCTGCCCTGGTTCGTTGGAAGTTTATCCCATCCAGGCAGGTGTGTTTTTTACATCTGCAGTTAGAGGCCTTTTCGTTTTTCAGGTTTTACATTCTTATGTAAAGTTGTAAAGCCAGTGTGTAAACGATGAAAAAAAGTGGTATAATTTCCCTTTTTTTAAAAAAATAATATATTTTTATTGATATTTTTACAGAGAGGAAGGGAGAGAGAGAGTTAGAAACATCGATGAGAGAGAATCATCGACCAGCTGCCTCCTGCACACTTCCTACTGGGGATGTGCCCGCAACCAAGGTACATGCCCTTCACCGGAATCGAACCCGGGGCCCTTCAGTCCGCAGGCCGACGCTCTACCCACTGAGCCACACCGGTTTTGGCTATAGTTTCCTTTTTAAAAAAGTATATTTTTATTGACTTCAGAGAGGAAAGAAGAGGGAGAGAGAGCCAGAAACATCAAATGATGAGCGCGAATCATTTATTGGCTGCCTCCTGCACGTCCCCCACTGGGGTTCTAGCTTGCAACCCGGGCATATGCCCTTGACCAGAATCGAACCCAGGACCCTTCAGTCCGCAGGCTGATGCTCTATCCATTGAGCCAAACCAGTTAGGGCAGTGGTCAGCAAACTCATTAGTCAACAGAGCCAAATATCAACAGTACAACAATTGAAATTTCTTTTGAGAGCCAAATTTTTTTTTAAACTTCTTCTAATGCCACTTCTTCAGCCCAGGCCGTGGTATTTTGTGGAAGAGCCACACTCAAGGGGCCAAAGAGCCACATGTGGCTCGTGAGCTGCAGTTTGCCGACCACGGAGTTAGGGCATATATTTTCTTTTTTAAAATCAGGATATTTTAGCTGAAACCTGTGTGGCTCAGTAGAGAGAGCACCAGCCTGTGGACTGAAAAGTTCCAGGTTCGATTCTGGTCAAGGGCATGTACCTTGGTTGCGGGCACATTCCCAGTAGGGGGTGTGCAAGAGGCAGCTGATAGATTATTTTCTCTCAGTGATGTTTCTGACTCTCTTCCTGTCTGTAAAAAATTCAATAAAATATATATTTTTTAAAAAATCAGAAAGGATACATAAACGTGTAGTTTATTAGTAGTTTGTCCTATTCCAGAACTAGAGACATTGGCCAGAGAAAGAAAGAAGATGTTTTGGCAGAGTTTAAGAGGGAGAGTCCATCAACTCCCCTGTGAACTAGTTTTAACTCAAAATGATATAAAACAGTTCTGGGTCCAGTTCTTTCATCTTTTTTTTTTTTTTTTTTTTTTTTTTAATATATTTTATTGATTTTTTACAGAGAGGAAGGGAGAGAGACAGAGAGCCAGAAACGTCGATGAGAGAGAAATATAGACCAGCTGCCTCCTGCACACCCCCCATTGGGGATGTGTCCACAACCAAGGTCCATGCCCTTGACCGGACTCGAACCCGGGACCCTTCAGTCTGCAGACCGATGCTCTATCCACTGAGCCAAACCGGTTTCGGCCTTTTATCTATTTGATAGGATGATTGGACAAAGTTAAAAAGCTTTCTAATTATTGCCTGGAGCGCATAAGGTGGGAAGGGAGAGGCAAGCAGCCCAGGTTTCTGAGAAGCTGTGTTTACATTTGTCTTAAATGGGGTTTCAGGGGAAATTGCAGTGTGTGTGTGTGTGTGTGTGTGTGTGGCGGGTGGTTATGGGGAGCGGAGGGGGCAGGGAATTATGAGTGGGGAGGGAAAGTTTAAAAACCATTGATCTGAATTATCTTAAAGGCCTTTTTCCACCTCTAAAGAACTGCATTCCATTTTTTAAAAATTTTTATTGATTTTTTTTTTACAGAGAAGAAGAGAGAGGGATAGAGAGTTAGAAACATCAATGAGAGAGAGATATCGATCAGCTGCCTCCTGCACACCCCCGACTGAGGATGTGCCCCCAACCAAGGTACATGCCCTTGACTGGAATCGAACCTGGGACCTTTCAGTCCATAGGCTGACGCTCTATCCACTGAGCCAAACCAGTCTCGGCTGCTCAGGATTCTTTAGGCCCAGCCTGGTCAGCGTAAAACATTTTATTTATCCCCTCTGAATTTGTTTTCTGTATTATCGGAGGCATAGTTATCATGTTTATGTTCCCCTTAAGTCTGATGAATTGAATCCTTCATTTCTGCATCAAACAATTAAAAAGCTACTGTGTGCCAGGCAAATGCAAACTCTCTCTCTCTCTCTCTCTCTCTCTCTCTCTCTCTATATATATATATATATATATATATATATATACACAGTATTATTGATTTTTTACAGAGAGGAAGGGGGAGAGATAAGAGAGCTAGAAACATCGATGAGAGAGAATCATCGATCAGCTGCCTCCTGCACACCCCCCACTGGGGATGTGCCCGCAACCAAGGTACATGCCCTTGACCGGAATCGAACCTGGGACCCTTCAGCCCGCAGACCGACGCTCTATCCACTGAGCCACACCGATTTTGGCCAAATGCAAACTCTTTTATAAAACGCTCTGACTCCCCAGAGGAGAGCCCCTCACGGATAAAGCCCGGCTGCTCTCGTTGCAGATGTGACGGCCGAAGCTGTCAGCGTGGCCATCGCAGCGCCTCCGTCGGAGGGAGAGGCCAACGCCGAGCTCTGCCGCTACCTCTCCAAGGTCCTGGGGCTCAGGAAGAGCGATGTGGTTTTAGATAAGGTACGGATCTCTTTCTCTTATATATATATGTATTTAAAACACTCACCTGAGGAGCCCTAACCGGTGTGGCTCAGTGGATAGAGCGTCGGCCTGCGGACTGAAAGGTCCCAGGTTCAATTCCGGTCAAGGGCATGTACCTTGGTTGCGGGCACATCCCTGGTGGTGGGTGTGCAGGAGGCAGCTGGTCGATGTTTCTAGCTCTCTATCCTCTCCCTTCCTCTCTGTAAAAAAATCAATAAAATATATTTTAAAAAAAATTTTGGAATGCAGCTGAAACCGGATTGGCTCGGTGGATAGAGCGTCAGCCTGCGGACTGAAGGGTCCCAGGTTCGATTCCAGTCAAGGGCATGTACCTTGGTTGTGGGCACATCCCCGGTGGGGGGTGTGCAAGAGGCAGCTGATTGATGACTCTCTCTCATCGATGTTTCTAACTCTCTATCCCTCTCTCTTCCTCTCTAAAATAAATCAATAAGATATATTAAAAAAACAAAAACAAAAAACACAAACATTATCCCCCTCCCCCAAGGATATGTCCGCAATGCATACAACTGAGGTCCGTTTCTAACAGTGTTAGAAAGTTTATCATGTTATCCTGACACTGCCTTTTCCTTTCACTCCAGGGCGGTAAATCCCGGGAAAAAGTGGTCAAGCTTTTGGCCGCCACAACTCCACAAGAGGTCTTGGAGAAATTGGAAAAGGAAGTTGAAAAAAAATAAAAGTAAGAGCCGGGACCGGTTTGGCTCAGTGGATAGAGCGTCGGCTTGGGGACTGAAGGGCCCCGGGTTCGATTCCGGTCAAGGGCATGTACCTTGGTTGCGGGCACATCCCCAGTAGGGGGTGTGCAGGAGGCAGCTGATCGATGACTCTCTCTCATTGATACTTCTAACTATCTCTCTCCCTTCCTCTCTGTACAAAAATCAATAAAATATATTTAAAATAAATATTATAAATAAATAAAAGTAAGAAAAAGAAATACATCCTCGAGAAACTTTTTTTTATTGCTAATGATGAAGAGGCTGCTAACCAGGAAAATGCAGTTCAATGCACAGAAATAAATGTATTTAAAAAAGAACAGGTCTCCAAAAAGGAGTTGAAAATTTAAGGTACTACACATTGAATACTGCTTGGAACATATTGCTTTGGTTTCATGGCATGGCAGAATACTAGCAACAGAACTGGGCAGGCTGTTCAAGATGACCTGACTCAGCCGAAACCGGTGTGGCTCAGTGGATAGAGCGTCAGTCTGCGGATTCAAGGGTCCCAGGTTCGATTTCGGTCAAGGTCATGTACCTTGGTTGTGGGCACATCCCCGGTGGAGGGTGTGCAGGAGGCAGCTGATCGATGATTCACTCTCATCAATGTTTCTGACTCTCTATCCCTCTCTCTTCCTCTCTGTGAAAAATCAATAAAATATATTAAAAAATAAAAATAAAAAAGATGACCTGCCTCAGCCCCTTTCATTTTGTGATGGTGCTTCTGGTATCCAGGAGCTGAGAGACACACAGGATCACACTGTGCAGAATGACAACTAGGACCCAGGTCCCTTGACTCCCACTTGAATACACTTTGTCCTGATTGTCCATTAAAGTGATAATATTTTTGCAACACTTCTGGAATGCTAGGGATTGCTTCTAATCCAGTTTACAAGTGACAGGAAAACTTGCCAATATATTTTGTACTCTTTATATCATAAAATGCTTATCTTTATGCAGAAATGTTTTCTGCATCTTTTTGAGAAGGAACAAAGAAATCTGTAACTGGCTGTGATCAATTAATTGTAGATACCACTGCACTCGGACCAGCCTCTGCATCTTTTTGAAACCCTTGAGCATTTTATGAAAAAGTGAGAAAGAATAATCAAGACTTGTACGGGCATGTCTTTTTAAAAAATATATATTTTATTGTTTTTTTACAGAGAGGAAGAAGGTTAGAATCATTGATGAGAGAGAACATCGATTAGCTGCCTCCTACACACCTCCTACTGGGGATGTGCCCGCAACCACGGTACATGCCCTTGACCGGAATCGAACCCGGGACCTTTCAGTCCGCAGACTGACGCTCTATCCACTGAGCCAAGCTGGTTAGGGCCAGGCATACCTTGTTTTATTGCACTTCACAGATACAGGATTTTGGTGTGGTTTTTTTTTTTTTTCAAATTGTGGGCTTATGGCCACCCTGTGATGAGCAAGTCTGTCCGTACCATTCTTTCAATAGTATGTGCTCACCTTGTGTGTTTGTGACACATTTTGGCAATTCTCTCAATATTTCAAACTTTTTCATCATTGTTATATTATGGTGATCTGTGAACGTTGATCTTTGATCCTACTGTAATTGTTTTGTGGCACCACAAACCATACTCATATAAGATGGTGAACTTAGCCGAAACCGGTGTGGCCCAGTGGATAGAGCGTCGGCCTGTGTACTGAAAGGTCCCGGGTTCGATTCCGGTCAAGGGCATGTACATTGGTTGCGGGCACATCCTCAGTACGGGGTGTGCAAGAGGCAGCTGATCGATGTCTCTCATCAATGTTTCTATCTTTCTTCCTCTCTGTAAAAAAATCAATAAAAGATTAAAAAAAAAAAAAAAAGATGGTGAACTTGATTGATAAATGTCTGTGTTCTGACTACTCACCAGCTGCTCCCCTCTCTCCCTTTCCTCAGGCCTTCCTATTCCAAGACACAACAACAGTGAAATTAGGCCAGTTTATAACCTGACAATGGCCTTGACGTGTTCAAGCGAAAGGAAGAGCCGCACGTCTCTCACTTTAAATCAAAAGCTAGAAATGATTAAACTGAGCGAGGAAGGCATGTCCAAAGCCGAGATCGGCCGAAAGCTGGGCCTCTTGCGACAGACGGTTAGCCAGGTTGTGAACGCCAAGGAAAAGTTCTTGAAGGAGATGCAGAGCGCCACTCCCATGAACACGCGGGTGATAAGGAAGCAAAACAGCCTGATTGCTGACATGGAGAAAGTGCTGGTGGTCTGGATCAGAGATCAGACCAGCCACAACATTCCCCTAAGCCAGAGCCTCATCCAGGCCAAGGCCTTGATGCTTTTCAATTCTATGAAGGCCGAGCGAGGTGAGGGAGCGGCAGAGGAAAAGTTCGAGGCCAGCAGAGGTTGGTTCATGAGGTTTAAGGAGCGATGCCATTTCTGTAAAGTGCGAGGCGAGGCAGCAGGCGCCGACGCAGAAGCTGCGACGAGTTACCCGGACGATCTAGCCAGAATAATTCACGAGGGCGGCTACACCGCACAACAGATTTTCAGCGTTGACGAAACAGCCTTGTATTGGAAGAAGATGCCCTCTAGAACTTTCCTAGCCAGAGAGGAGAAGGCTTCCAGCCCTGGCTTCCAGCCCTCCAAGGACAGGCTGACTCTCTTGCTAGGGGCTAATGCAGCCGGCGACTTGAAGTTGAAGCCAATGCTCGTCTATCACTCCGAAAACCCCGCCGCCCTCAAGAATTACGCTAAAGCCACTCTGCCTGTGCTCTACAGATGGCACGCCAGAGCCCGGATGACGGCGCATCTGTTCACCTCCTGGTTCAGCGAATATTTCAAGCCCGCCGTGGAGACCTACTGCTCAGAAAAGAAGATCCCTTTCAAAATACTGCTGCTCGTGGACAACACCCCCGTTCACCCAGGAGCCCTGAAGGAGCTGTACAGTGAGATCGATGTCGTTTTCATACCTGCTGACACGGCGTCCGCCCTGCAGCCCACGGGTCAAGGAGTAACGTCGACTTTCAAGTCCTACTACTTAAGAAATATATTCCGCAAGGCTGTCGCTGCCGCAGACAGCGGCTCCTCCGACGGATCGGGGCAGAGTCAACTGAAAACCTTCTGGAAGGGATTCAGCATCCTCGATGCCATCAAGAACATCCGCGATTCGTGGGATGAGGTCAGAGCCTCCACCATCACGGGAGTCTGGAAGACGTTGATCCCAACCCTCGCGGATGGATTTGGGGGGTCCCGGGCTTCGTCGGAGGAAGTGACCGCAGAGGCGGTGGAACTAGCGCGAGAACTGGGGTTAGAAGTGGGGCCCGAGGATGTGACCGAATGGCTGCAGTCTCACGCTCGGTCTCTGACGGACGAGGAGCTGCTGCTGGTGGATGAGCAGAGAAAGCGGTTTCTGGAGATGGAGGCCGCTCCCGGCGAAGAGGACGCGACGATCGTTGACATGACAACAAGGGACTTGGAATACTACGTCAACTTGGTGGACGAGGCAGCCGCAGGGTTGGAGAGGATCGACCCCAACTTCGAAAGAAGTTACACCGCGGGCAGAATGCTCTCCAACAGCGTCGCGTGCTACAGAAAAATCCTCCACGGAAGGAAGAGTCAGTCGGCGAGGCAGAGGTCATTGCTGTCTTATTTTAAGAAGTTCCCCCAGCCGCCCCAGCCTTCAGCCACCACCCCCCTGCTCAGCGAGCAGCTATTAACACCGAAGCAAGAATCTCCACCAGCAAAAAGATTACGGCTCCCTGAAGACTCCGATGATGGTTAGCGTTGTTTTTTTTTGTTTGTTTGTTTTTTTAGCAATAACGGACTTTTTAATTAATGGCCTGCACCTTGTTTTGCCTACATTGACAGAACCTGAGAAAGCAAAACCTGGACTCGTAGTTCTGTGAGCCTTTCCTCCTTTGCCAGCAAGGAATTAGAGAACCAGAGCGTGTAAGTGACACCGTTGTGTTGTTCCAAATTCCAAACAGTTAAAAACTCACAACTTTAGAGGCAGTTCTTTTCTGGGTCTTTGTGAACCGTGACCCTCTTACAAATTTAGGAATTTGGTTCCTTTAACTGTAGTGCAGAATATGCATTCTGGAACCTACCCTGACTCCCACTTCATTTTTTTTTTTTAATTGATTTCCAAGAGGAAGGGAGAGAGAGAAATATCAATGAGAGAGGCTCATTGACCTGCTGCCTCCTGCATGCTCCCTGCTAGGGACCTTGCCTGCAACTAGGGAATGTGCTCTTGACTGGAATCAAACCTCGGACCCTTCAGTTTGCACGCCAGCACTCTATCCACTGAACCAAACCAGCTAGGACCGGATTATTATTATTTTTTATTTTTATTTTTTAATATATTTCATTGATTTTTTTTACAGAGAGGAAAGGAGAGGGATAGAGCGCTAGAAACATTGATGAGAGAGAAACATCGACCAGCTGCCTCCTGCGCACCTCCCACCGGGGATGTACCCGCAACCAAGGTCCATGCCCTTGACCGGAATCGAACCTGGGACCTTTCAGTCCGCGGGCCGACGCTCTATCCACTGAGCCAAACCGGTTTCGGCAGGACCAGATTTTTTTTTTTTTTTTTAAACGGGCCTAGAGACTAAAAAGAAATGTAAGAACCTAGATTTTCAATTTCCATCCAAGAGGTGTCACCGTAATTTGAAGGAACTGAACTGCACTATCGGGAAATCCCTTCTGCAGAGCCTGATATCAGTAATCCTTTTTATCTCATCCTCTCAGAGGTACGCCTGAGGCTTAGTCCAGAGTGTGGTGGTAACCCAGGCCAGCTGTGTGTTCACAAGTTCAGGGTCACTGCCACAGTGGAGTCTGCATGGTCCCGATTGGCTCCCTTAACCCAACAGCGTTCAGAAATCCCTTTCAGTTGCCATTTTTGAAAATGGAATTGGGCTGGACAGTTGACAGAAACTAATTTCTTAAATCAGATGCCAGATTTATTAACTTGATTCCAGAACACACCCGCCAATGAGACTGCGCCCTGGCATCCTTTAGTGCAGTGTTTTTCAACCTTTTTTGAGCAAAGGCACACTTGTTTCATGAAAAAAATCACGAGGCACACCACCATTAGAAAATGTTAAAAAATTTAACTCTGTGCCTATATTGACTATATATAAAGTAATTCTCTTGAACAGGAATCAAATAAACACAAAGAAAGTATTTTATAATTACTTTATTATGAAATATTAAGTAAACAAAATAGTGAAAAATTATAAAATTCTTGTCTTGTCTGCACCTATGGCACACCAGGCAACAACTAGTGTGCCGCGGAACAGCGGTTGAAAAACGCTGCTTTAGTGAGTACATTCTGTCCCTTTGGGAGATTTCATAGGGAGCCAGTTATGTGGAGTCTACTTTGAGATTTTGGGATCAGAGCCAAGGAAATGATGGGCCTGGGACAGGGAGCTATGGCCATCTGGAGCTCCCCTTTCTGCCAAGGGATAGGCTCATTATATCCCACCAACCCCTCTCCTGGGATAATGCGGGGCCCTGATGATTTATGGCATTTTAACTCCCTTTTTCTAGGCTCCAGGAGACCACCTACTTCTGTCCACATAAGCTTCCTCTAGACCACCTTTATAATTCAGTTGGTAAGATTTTATCAGCATTTTATAATCCTCCTAGAGGCCTGGTGCAAGGATTCATGCACCCATAGGGTCCCATGGCCTGGACTGCAGGGATTGGGCCCAAACTGGCTCTCTGACGTCGCCCAAGGGGTCTCGGATTTTTAGAGGGTACAGACCAGGCCGAGGGACCCCACAGGTACACGAATCCATGCACCAGGCCTCCGACATCCCCCGATGGATCCAGGGTGCAGGTGAAGCAGATTCAGGGCCGACAGTGCCTGAGCAGCAACCTAACCCAATGGTTGGCAATTCATTAGTCAACAGAGCTAAATATCAACAGGACGACGATGGAAATTTCTTTTGAGAGAGAAATTTTTTAAACTTCTTCTAATGCCACTGCTTCAAAATGGTATTTTGTGGAAGAGCCACACTCAAGGTGTGAAAGAGCCGCATGTGGCTCGCGAGCCACAATTTGCCTACCATGGACCTGACCTATCGCCACTTCCGTGAGGAATCAGGTGCCGTCTCCTGGTCGGAGTGTCTGCCCCCTGGTGGTCATTGTATGTCATAGCTACTGGGCAAACGGTCGGATGGTCACTTAGGCTTTTATATATATAGATAGATTAGAGGCCTGGCGCACAAATGCTCTGGTGGGGTCCCTTGGCTTGGCATGCAAGGATCGGGCTGAAACTGGCAGTCCAACATCCCCCTAGGCCTGGCTGGCAATCAGGGCTGATGGAGCCTTCCTTTGGCTGCTAGCAGGGGCTTTCCTTTAGTCCATGCTGCCCCCTGGTGGTCAGCACATGTCATTGCGAGCAATCAAACTCCCAGTAGGTTTAACTCCCAAGGGGGCACTTTGCATATTGGGTTTTTATATTGTGTATATATATATATGTTGCCCAGGATAGGAAACCCCTATGATAACAAAGTACAGTAGTCCTACAATAATAATTATGATGATGATGTTGAAAATTGCAAGTGCCTGCTTTGTGACAGCCGGAGTTATAAACATTGTATAAATAGCAATTCATTTTAGTGGATAGTATTACTGAACACTGGGCACTTGGCTTCCTTTCCCTAATCTCCCTGATCCTGGTGACACTAATGGAAGGTAGGCCATGTCTATCTACACTAATAAAAGAGAAAGATGCAAATTGACCATACCTTTGTGATACCCACCAGCCAATCAGGAGTGAATATGCAAATTCAGCAAAGATGGTGGATTAATTTGCATATGCAGGTGCTGAGGGGATGGGGCAATGACGCAGGTACCGCCCCAGCTGCTCCAGGCCTCTGGACAGCTTGGGAAGGCAGAAAGTGGCTCCAGGCCAGAGCAAAGGTAGAACACAAAAGAAGCACCAAAGGATATATGGACAAAAGAAATGTAGCATTGTTAGTAGGGGCAAAAAACTGGAAACAACCTGTCTACCTATAGGAGAATAATTACATTGTCAGTGGTAAATACATACTGTAGTGTGTTATGTTATTAAAATTAAAACACTAGTTTTTAACCTATAATTATTGACCTGTTTGTTATATTCTGTTGTGTAAACAAAGAATAATACGTGTGAGTGTATATATATTTTTATATATAATCTCACTTTAGTAAAAAAGGGAAAATGTTTATATCAAATTTAAGAGCTGAAACTGGTTTGGCTCAGTGGATAGAGCTTCAGCCTGCGGACTGAAGGGTCCGAGGTTCGATTCCTGACGCTCTATCCAGAGCCAAACCAGCTAGGGCATCATTCCTTTTTTTGAATGTTATTTTGTATCTATGCAGGAAGCAGAAACCATGTCTTTTATTTCTTCCTGGGTTTGAGCACATAGTGGGCAGTCTAACAGTGACTGCTGTTTATAAAAGAAAAACCAATAGCACAGAGTGTCAATAACTCCTACAGAATGCAGAAATAACGGGAAGATGCTTACTGTATTTTCAAGCAGGGCCGTTAATCAGGTCATATGTACCTGTGTTAAAATATTTATTTATTTAAAATATATTTTATTGATTTTGTACAGAGAGGAAGGGAGATAGTTAGAAACATCGATGAGAAAGAGTCATCGATCAGCCGCCTCTTGCACGCCCCCTACTGGGAATGTGCCCGCAACCCAGGTACATGCCCTTGACCGGAATCGAACCCGGGACCCTTCAGTCCCCAAGCCGACGCTCTATCCATTGAGCCAAACTGGTTTCGGCAATATCAGTGTTAAAATATTTAAACATTGTTGGAAAATCACCTTTTTTTCTGAACTGAGAGGTACCCCTCCCTCCTACCCAGCCTTGTACCCTTAGATCTCCCTAATTACAGTGGTGCCTCACACAACGAACTTAATTCGTTCCAGGAGCAAGTTTGTTATGCGAAAAGTTCGTTATATGAAACGCGTTTTCCCATAACAATACATGTTAAAAAAAATAATTTGTTCTGTAGCATAAAATATGCTAAGATGACATAAAAGATAATTTTTTTTTAATTTTTATTTAGATACATCTAGAAACATAATTTTTTTTAAAAAAAACACATTTTTTTAATTTTAAGACAGACTAAGTAGAGTCTACCGAATCTTGCACATCTTCATCCATTTTCTGCTTTTTGGCCGATGGTTTCATGAAAAACCTGTCCAAAGTCGTTTGTTTTTCTCTTTTCTCCAACATCTGCCGGAAATAACGGACAAGAGTATCGGAGTAAAGATCGTTGATCCTGTTTGCTTCAGCTGAATCCGGATAGTGGGCATTGGTAAACTCCTGAACTGCTTTCCATTTGACCAGGATGTTCTTGATGTCAGCAGTTGGGATTGGTTGATTGTTTGATTGTTGCTCCTCGTTATCAGATGACGCTTCCCTTTGAGCATTGTCCTGTTGCTGGACCAGAAGTGCTTGGAGCTCTTCAGTTGTCAGCTCTTCTTCGTGTTCCTCAATAAGCTCCTCTACATCCTCTTCCTCTACCTCTAATTCCAACCTTTGGGCCACTGTGATGATGTCCTTCACCACTTCTGTGTCATCAACTACTGCTTCTTCCTGGGTCCACGAAGGCACAAGCATCTTCCAAGCAGAAATGAGGGTCCTTTGTGACACTTCTTCCCAGGCCTTCTGTATAAGTCGTACTACATCGGCAGCGATCATGGAAGCTCGGGCGAAGCAGTCGTGGAAGCTCGGGCAAAGCGGTCATGGAAGTTCGGGCGACTTCGTTGTGTGAAACGAAGTTCGTTGTATGAATCATGAAATGAAGTTCGTTGTGTGCAGCGTTCGCTGTGCGAGGCGTTCTTTATGCGAGGCACCACTGTAATGTCAAAAGCAGAAACAGCAGGTGGCCTCCAGGATCCTGCTCTAACTGCTGAGCTCCTGTTCTGGGTGGGAGTGCCTGGGCTGCAGCAGCTGTTAAATACTTTTACTAACCCGCCTGCTTTTAGAGGACATCCGGGTACAGTCCTGCCATTGTTAACTCTCCGGGCCCGTGGCCAGCAAACTGCGGCTCATGAGCCACGTGTGGCTCTTCCACAAAATGCTTCGGCCTGGGCGAGTCTATGTTGAAGAAGTGGCATTAGAAGTAGTTTAAGTTGAAAAAAATCTGGCTCTCCAAAGAAATTTCAATCGTCGTGCTGTTGGTATTTGGCTCTGCTGACTAATGAGTTTGCCGACCCCTGGGCTAGGCTAAATAGGGTGGTCCTAGACCTTCCTTCACGGAACAGCGCTGGCTTGCTGCCTAAGGATGTGATGAGGGGGCCAGAGGAATCACCTTGTTATTCATACTGAGTGTGAAGACTTGGTTCATTAGAGCTTTTCCTCAAAATGAGTTCCCTGAGAGGATGGCTCTGCGGGAACTGGGGTGACTAGGATCGAGAGGATGGAGCAGTAGCTGGAGAAGTCAACCTCACGGGCCTAGAGCGGAGTGCTTAGGGAGAAGGTAGATTTAGGAAGTTGCCTTTTAATTCCTTGACCTCTGACGAAACTTGTACTTTTTTAAAAAAATTTATTGATTTTTTTACAGAGAGGAAGAGAGAGGGATAGTTAGAAACATCGATGAGAGAGAATCATCGATCAGCTACCTCCTGCACACCAGCTACTGGGGATGTGCCCGCAACCAAGGTCCATGCCCTTGACTGGAATCGAACCCGGGACCCTTCAGTCTGCAGGCCGACGCTCTATCCACTGAGCCACACGGGTTTCGGCGAAACTTGCACTTTTAATATTATTTTTAAACCAAATGAACTGTGTTCAGTGGACATGAAGGACCGAGCCATAAAAAAGACAAAAACCCATCCCACCAATTAATGAGTAGGCTAACTGCCAAAACCGAGAAATTGATTAGTATTCTCAGTATTTTATTGACATAAAACCATGTAACGGCCATGACAATGATTTGAAATATAATCATCACCCTGAAAGGATGTGACAGCATCACAGTGTTTATAGAAGAGAATGCAGAAGATGCACATTTGAAAGCGAATGTAACATTGTAAAATCAACCCACATCTAGAACCATAAAAGTAAGGAAAGTCAAATAATGCAGACTTATTTACATGATGGAAGAGGAAAGGGGAATATCGCAGAGTTTCTGTCACACTTTTATATAATATATGCATTTTTTACCTACTAAATTTGGTTTGTATAAAATGATTGTGCCTAATCCCACTCTAGATTAGGTCAAGACCCTAAAATTTAAGAATGATTCCTTCCTCATTTTACAGTTTTATTCATGATATTCCTCTAAATAAAGACCAAGCCCTGGCAGGTGTTGCTCAATGGTTAGTGCACTGGCCTGCACTCACAGGGTCGTTGGTTTGATTCCCAGTCAAGGGCACACACCTGGGTTGGAATTCCCACCCTGCCCCCCAGTTGGGGGAGTGCAAGAGGCAACCAATCGCCTCTCTCTCCCTCCCCCTTCCCTACTATTCTCTAGAATCAGTGGAAAAAATATCCTTACTCCTCAGGTGAAGATTAAAAATTAAAAAAAAAAATAAAGAGACCAAAACTATTATGGAGCTGAATCATACCTAAAAGAGTAATTAGAAAGTAACATAGTCACATAACAAGATCCATTAGAAAGTAACATAGTTACATAACAAGAGCCAAAAAAGAAATACAATTATAATTGCTTTATCTTCCAACTTCTGAAGTTATTGTACAATTCATCACAACTAAGTATAGTTATGCATTCACTAGTTGATTTTTACCAGTCTCTCAAAATTTTAGGAATGAGCACATCCTAGTACCTGGAAACTTCCTATGTTACAAAGTAAAGGCAAGCATTTTCTATTTTAAAATTCCTGTTTTATTTCTGAGTAAAACAAAGAACTCCTGGAGGTCAAACAAGGAAAAGATATACCATGTTCATGAAACGAAGAGTCTGAGGTAGAAGTCAAGCAATATAACCCACAACATTTTTAGGAAGGTGTTTATTCCCAGCAACCATCCCACCGCTCCAGAAAGATCTAATTTTTTAAAAAATGTCTCAAGTTAAAAAAAAAAATTATTTTCCAAAGTCAGATGCAAAAGGACAACCAACAGAAAAAACACAGACACACACACACACACGTTTGTCTCGCTAACAGAGTAAACAGTTTCAGGAAAAGCTGCTGACGTTTCTCTCAGTAGTAACCGTAGGGAGGCCGCTGGTTGTAGCCGTAATTGCCATACTGGTGAGGGTGGTACGGCTCTTGTCTGTGCTGCTGGTAGTTGTTGCCCCAGGGGCGTCCGTGCCATTGGTTGGATCGGTTGTCACTGGGCCACCCCCGTCTGCCGTCCCTACCTCTAAACTGTCTGTTGTCTTGCAACCTACAACAACAACAAAAAAATTACACTTTTAAGAAAACACATGACAAATCAGTCCTGTTGCGTTTGACTTCTCAATCGAATACTTAATAAACGAGAATAAAAAACATTTTTCTCTATAATATGTTACAGCTCCAGTGATTCAAAACATTTAAAAAAAATATATATTTTATTGATATTTTACAGGAGGTCACGGTTCAGTTCCAGGTCAGGGCACATGCCCAGGTTGCGGGCTCCATCCCTAGTGTGGGACTTGCAGGAGGCAGCCGATCAATGATTTTCTATCACTGATATTTCTCTCTCTCAAAAAACACCACAAAACAAAAAACACTGGTCCCTGTCCTAGCAGATTAAAGCTATTCTCTTCCATGCCGAAACCGGTTTGGCTCAGTGGATAGAGCGTTGGCCTGCGGACTGAAAGGTCCCAGGTTCGATTCCGGTCAAGGACATGTACCTTGGTTGCGGGCACATCCCCAGTAGAGGGTGTGCAAGAGGTGACTGATCGATGATTCTCATCGATGTTTCTGACTCTCTCTTCCTCTCTATAAAAAATAAAATATATACATATATTTTTAAAAAGCTATTATCTTCCAGATGAGCCACCCACAATTCACTCTTCTGAAGTAATACGTACCAATTGCCTCTATTCCTCTGGCCCCCACCCGCTCTGCTGTTCCAATCCTCCACAATCGGAGGGGTTGCTGGAGGGCGTTTCAGGTATTCCTGGTATTCTTTGTCGTCTTCTGTGAATCGGCTGGCAAACATCTCTTCGAAATTCGGAGCCGCTTCAGAAGTATCAGTCATTCTGAAATCCTGTACAGTTTTTTAATATGTTGCCATTAGAATTTTTTCCCCGCCAAGTAACACTGTTACCAGTGAAAAGCCAAGAAGGGCCGAAACCAATTTGGCTCAATGGATAGAGCGTCGGCTTGGGGACTGAAGGGTCCCGGGTTCGATTCCCGTCAGGGGCATGTACCTTGGTTGTGGGCACATCCCCAGTGGGGGGAGGGGGGACTCTCTATATCCCTTCCTCTCTGTAAAAAATCAATAATATATTAAAAAAATAAAATAAAATAAATTTTATTGATTTTTTACAGAGAGGAAGGGAGAGGGAGAGAGTGTTAGAAACATCAATGAGAGAGAAACATCCATCAGCTGTTTCCTGTACACCCCCTACCGGGGATGTGCCCGCAATCAAGGTACATGCCCTTGACCGGAATCGAACTTGGGACCTTTCATTCCGCAGGTCGACGCTCTATCCACTGAGCCAAACCGGTTTTGGCATGAAATTTAAATAGGATGTTATTTACCAATTTTACTGCAAGAAATTTAATTAAGATAAAAATAAATAGAATTTTAACTGACCCAAGCTTTACTTATCTCCGGGATTTAATGTTTAGGTTGTCTAGATGTGTGGGAGGGAAAACAAAACAAAACAAAAGGTGACTCCCTCAAAAAAATCCTCAAAAGGGGTGGGTGGTGAGTAGGGGCCATAAGGGCTTCAGGGGTTAAATGAAAAGTTCTCTAAAGTCTTCCAATGCTAATTTGAGAGTGTGCCAAAGTGCCAGCGAAGCCCTAGCCGGTTTAGCTCAGTGGATAGAGCGCTGGCCTGCAGACCAAAGAGTCCTGGGTTCAGTTCCATTCGATTCCGGTCCCATTCGATTCCGGTCAAGGGCGCATACGGGTCAGGGGGCGTGCAGGAGGCAACCAATAAATGCGTTCCTTCTCACATCAAGTTTCTCTCTGGCTTCCCCTCTCTCTTCACTCTCTCTCTCAAAGCCAATGGAACAATATCCTCTGTTGAGGATTAGCAAAAACCAACGAAGTGCCATGATACAAAGGCGTGTCCTCTGGGCTTTCCCAGCCAATAAGCGAGCTCCAGCAGGAGTAACAACTTTGCAGCGTTAAGTTCTTGTCCGTTGAAATCAAAGGACATTTGCCCTAGCTGGTCTGGCTCAATGGATACAGCGTCAGCCTGTGGACTGAAGGGACCCAGGTTCGATTCCGGCCAAGGGCACATGCTCGGGTTGTGGGCTGGATCCCCAGTCAGGGGCGTGCAGAAGGCAGCTGATCCATGATTCTCATCACTGATGTTTCTATCTCTCTATCCTTCTCCCTTACTCTCTGAAATCAATAAAGAAATGTTAAAATAATAATAATAAAAAGAAATAAAAGGGCATTGCCTTTCAGATCTGCACCCCAACATTAGTTTATTTACCACCAATAAAACCACACGGAGGGAGCCCTTCTGGCTGCAGGCGAATACCTTGGAAAGGACTCACCAGAATGGGGGGTTTCGCTGCCCCAGGAGGAGAGGCCGAGGAAGCTAAGGACTAGAAACCACCACTATTTTCACTCTCTTTCTCCCCCCCCCCAAAGCCCAGCAGAGCTGGTCCCCCAAGACCGCCCCTTGGACGTTGGACGTCCAGGCGCAGAGGAAACTACAGACCCAGAAGGTAAGGGCCCAGAGAAGTGTGGCTCAGTGGATAGAACATCGGCCCGCAGACTGAAGGGTCCCAGGTTCGATTCTAGTCAAGGGCATGTACCTTGGTTGCGGGCACATCCCCAGGGGGGGGGGGGCGCGCAGGAGGCAGCTGATGGATGCTTCTCTCTCATGGATGTTTTAACGCTCTATCCCTCTCCCTCTCTGTGAAAAAAAAAAAAAATCAATAAAAATATTTTTTAAAAAGGAAAGAAGGGTAAGTAAGGGGGCTTCGGATCTCGCGAAAGCGCCTGGACCTGGCACCGCAGCCCGGAGGACAGACACCGCCCCCCTCCTTCCCGGCACCCAAAACCCGCAACTCACCCGCCCAATCGCCGTGTCTCCTCCTCAGCTCGGGCTGAGCTTGGCGGCGGGCGAAACGCGCGGGACACCCACTTCCGGCCCCCCAATGCTTCCCAGTGCCCCCCAACGCGTCCGTGCGGCCCCACACTCACCTCGCCCCTCCTCTCCCAGGTAACGGAGCCCCTCTTGTCAGACAGAATCCGGCGGCGCCCTGACTTCCGCTTCCGGCGAGCTCCCGCGCATGCGCGCCATGCACGCCAAGTCTCGCGAGACTTGGGGCTCGGCCGTGCGGCGCGCTCTCAGGTGAACAGGCAGCGTTGCCGCCGCCGGAGCGCGACCCTCAGGAAAAGATGTCGCCGGGTGTTCAGTCCCCCTGACTGGGAGCCCGTGGCGGGTAGGGACGAAGGTTTGGGACTTACTCTGCAGAGAAGGGAGGGAAAGGCTGCTTCAGGCGGGACCCCTCAGGGACGCGCGGTGCCTCCGCCTCCCGCCAGGTTGGGCCTCAGCCCTTAAGAGTTCAGAGTCCCTTTTCGCACGTGTTTTTGCCCAAACACCCCACCCCCTTCAGCCTGATTCGTCTGTTCCCAGGAGCCTCCTAAGTCTCTTCAGTGTTCTGCAGGTGTATGTATACACGCGGACTATCCCAAACGTGATGTGGCCTCTTTATTTTATTATTTTAGTTTTTTAAATGTATTTTATTCATTTTGTTTTACAGAGAGGAAGAGAGAGGGATAGAGAGTTAGAAACATCGATCAGCTGCCTCTTGCACACACACACCCCCACCGGGGACGTGCCCACAACCAAGGTCCATTCCCTTGACTGGAATCGAACCTGGGACCTTTCAGTCCACTGAGCCAAACCAGTTAGAGCATTTGATTTGGCCTCTTAAAAAAAAAAGTATATATCTATATATCTATCTATCTATCTATCTATATCTATATCTATCTATCTATCTATCTATCTATCTATCTATCTATCTATCTATAATTTGTTGTTGATCTCAGAGAAGAAGGGAGGAGATATAGCAACATCCATGATGAGAGAATCATTGATTGGCTGCCTCCTGCACTCCCTCTACTGGGGATGGAACCCACAACCCAGGCATGTGCCCTTGACCAGAATGGAACCCCAGGACCCTGTAGTCTGCAGGCCCCACGCTCTATCCCAGTAGCCAACAGCCTGCGACTCGAGAGCCACACACAGCTCTTTGGCCCCTTGAGTGTGGCTTTTCCAAAAACAACACGGCTAGAAACCACCCTTCTGTTTTTGAAGACGTGGCGTTAGAAGTTTACGTTCAAAAAACGTGTCCCTCCAAAGAAATCTCAATCGTCGTCCTGTTGATATTTGTCTCTGTGGACTCATGAGTTTGCCGACCCCCCCCCCCCCCCGCCCGCCCCTGCTCTAACCACTGAGCAAGACCAGCCAGGGCCTGACTTGGCCTCTTACCTCCCAAACGGCTGTCCAGGCTGCGCACCCTTTTTGTCAATACTGTCACCAGTTCCCAGCGTGGATACTGTGAGGTTTGAGGCTCAAGAAAGTGACCACCAAGACACAGTAAAAAGTTTATTCCCCAGTAATGAGTGGGGACTCATTACGGAGGTAGAGAAATCAGAATTGAAGGAGTGGGGAGAGGAGAAGGGACCCAACGGAGTTGCCTCCACAGATGGAGGTGGAGAGAGCAGCACGTGGGTGAGCCTTTTGAGGGGAAGAACAGGAAGGGGTGGGCTCCAGGGCAGTTGGGCACACGCTGATTGGTGGTTCCATGTCTTGGGGGTGTCTGTGGCAGATGCCAGTAACGTCATAACTCCGCCCACCAGTTGGGGGGGAAGGGAGGATCTCACAGACACATTCATGTCAGGACCTGATGCCATTTATTTTCTTCCTTGCGCCCGCCCATCAGAGACTAAATCCTGTCGATTCTGCCCCAGCAGTGGCTCTGACATCCATCCAGGTTACCCACTGCTTCCGCCTAATCAGAGTTCCTGTTATCATCCCCTGAACAGTAGTGGCAATGCAATACCTTTCTCAGGGAGGCCCTTCTGCCAGCCCACGCCCCTACCAGCCCACCTGCCTGCAGCTGCCATGGTTTAATCAAACATAGCCCTGATCCAAAATCGCTGGCTTCCTTCCCTAACCGGTGTGGCTCAGTGGATAGAGCGTCGGCCTGCAGACCGAAGGGTCCCAGGTTCAATTCCCGTCAAGGGCATGTGCCTTGGTTGCGGGCACATCCGCAGTAGGGGGTGTGCAGGAGGCAGCTGATCGATATTTCTAGCTCTCTATCCCTCTCTTTTCCTCTCTGTAAAAAATCAATAAAATATACTTAAAAAAACAAACTAACAAAAAACTGCCCAAAATCACCGGCTTCCTGTTGTGTGTAGATTAAAGGCCAAAGTTATTAACTCGGATGCAAAGCATTATTTCCTCCTGTTCCCCTTTCATTCTTCTTTTGCCTGTGACACCGATATTTTGGGTATCCGATCAGTTCTTACCACTTTCTAACTTAAAGCTGAAATTATTCATATATAAGTCTTCTCTTGCTTACACCCTCTCCCACCCCACATTAGACTGTAAATAGACCTCCGTTTGATTCATTTTTGCATCCTGCAGCGTGTAACTTGGTGCTTTGAGTAAAGGAAGCACTCAGTCAATGAGAAACATTAACCTAGCAACAGTGTAAAGGGCAGTACGGATGGGCAGATGCTGGGTAGTAAAGGGGAGAGCGGAAAGACCAAGGTTACAATAATTGGATAGTTTTAAAAGAAATATATTTTATTGATTTTTTTTTTTTTTACAGAGAAAAAGGGAGAGGGATAGAGAGTTAGAAACATCAATGAGAAAGAAACATCGATCAGCTGCCTCCTGCACACCCCCCTCTGGGGATGTACCAGCGACCAAGGTACGTGCCCCTGACTGGAATCGAACCTGAGACCTTTCAGTCTGCAGGCTGACGCTCTATCCACTGAGCCAAACCGGTTCCTGATGTAATTGGGTAGTTTTATCCTTAGTCACAAAGCAGATGATGGGAGAAAAGGATTAGGAGTAATCAGGGAAGACTCCCAATTTCTTAAAGCTGGGGAGTTGGGACTGAGGGTAAGTTGGTTATAAAGCAAAATGAGCTCAGAGCCAAAACTGGTGTGGCTCAGTGGATAGAGTGCTGGCCTGCGGACTGAAGGATCCCAGGTTTGATTCCGGTCAAGGGCATGTATTTTGGTTGCAGGCACATCCCCAGTGGTGGGTGTGCAGGAGGCAGCTGATCGATGTTTCTCTCTCATTGACGTTTCTAGCTCTCTATCCCTCTCTCTTCCTCTCTGTAAAATATCAATGAAATATATATATATATATATATATATATATATATATATATATATATATATATATTTTTTTTTTTTTTTTAAATGAGCTCAGAGCTCCAAAAGATTTGTAGAACTTAAGATGATAGTGAACTATCCAAAAGAAAAAATTTAGGAGGTTGTTAGAAATACGGAACTGGCCCGGCTGGTATGGCTCAGTGGTTGAGCATCAACCTAATATGAACCGGGAGGTCACGGTTCGATTCCTGGGTCAGGGCACATGCCCAGGTTGTGGGCTCGGTCAGGAGGCAGCTGATCAATGATTCTCTCTCATCATCGATGTTTCTCCCTCTGCGTTCCTTTCTGAAATTAATAAAAATATATATTAAAAAAATAAAGAAATACAGAACTGAAGCGGAAGAAAGGCTGTAAATGTATGAGTCATCCATGAGACAAAATGGTTAAAATCAGTGTATATGATCTATCTTTCCCACAGAAGAAGTATTTTTAGAGAAAAGCAGAAGGCCAAGGCCTACGCCTCAGGAAATTTTCATATTTAAAAGGCAGGAATAGGGAATGTAAACTTGAAGAGAAGATTCGAATACATATGTGGGTAGTAATGTCGCAATGGAAAAACTCAGGAAAATGCTTCCTGAGACAGAATATCAGGAAAAAGAGGTTATTGAAGTTCAGCTTGTGATGACATTATTTCCAGGTAATCGGGACTTTCCCAGAAAAGTCTATATTTCTTTCCTTTTAACTCATAAAGGGCACTTGGAAGCTTGGCTTCTGGGAGTTTCTGTGAAAAATTCTAGGTATTCCAGCCAATTTTCAAATGAAACTATTTTTGTCGGTGATGTTGTCTCATATTATGATATTCTGTCCGTTATTACATCTCATTTTCTGACATCGTTGGAGGATAATCTGTTCCACGAATAGAAATTTTCCAGATAACTGTCTCTTAGCCTTTAAATATCAAGAACGTTTTCATTGGAACCACTTTTAAGAAATATATTATTGCTGTAACCAGTTTGGCTCAGTGGATAGAGCATCAGCCTGCAGACTGGAAGGTCCCAGGTTCAATTCCGGTCAAGGGCATATTTTATTGATTTTCCACAGATAAGAAGGGAGAGGGACAGAGAGCTAGAAACATCGATGAGAGAGAAACATCAATCAGCTGCCTCTTGCACACCTCCTACTGGGGATGTGTCCGCAACCAAGGTACATGCCCCTGACTGGAATCAAACCTGGGACCCCTCAGTCCACAGACCGACCCTCTCTCTACTGAGCCAAACCAGTTTCGGCAATAAAATATATATTTTTAAAAAGTTTTAAAAACATTCATTTATGTTTCTGGAGAGAAAGAAAGGGAGAGGGAGAGAAAAAGAGAAACGTTGATGGATCGGCTGCCTCCTGCATGCCACTTACCGGGGATTGCGTCCACAACCTGGGCATGTGCCCTGACTGGGAATCGAACCGGCAACCTTTTGGTGCATTGGACAATGCTCAACCAACAGCCACACCAGCCAGGGCTGGAACCACTTTAGTGGAAGTATGCATAGAATTAAGTACTTACTTATATGCCAAAACCAGAGTATTTGGGCCATAATTTGGGATTTGCGTAGCAACTCAAGGTCATTGCTATCCCCAGGTAGGATATTCTTTTTTTTTTTTCCCTTTTCCTTTTTTATACATATATTTTTATTGATTTTTTACAGAGAGGAAGAGGGAGAAAGAGAGAGAGAGCTAGAAACATTGATGAGAGAGAATCTCCAGTTAGGATATTCTGCATAGTAACGTCCTTGGGCCTGTCAACACACATGGAGAAGATGGCCTGTTGTTAGTTGACTTT